CGACTGCAACAATCGCGCCGCAATGATAATAGCAATGGCTAGGCAGCGGAACGAATTATGCTCGCAATCCAAGGTTTTATTGTAATGGTAACTGGAAGACAAAACGGAAAAGGGCGCAAAGAAGCACGGAGATTGAATGCTGAGAAATCTCATTGAGACAGAGAGAGATAGAGGGAGAGAAAGCGGTTACACGTGGATTTGAGACCACACGCATTTTACAAAAGACAACAATTCAAGCTGTGAATAAAGAAAGTACGTGTGCTTGGGCAGGACGCGTCTTGGCGAGAGGGGTCGATTGCGGATGGTCGAGAATAGTGACGGAGTGGCAGCCAAGGAATGGGACGCGTTGGATGACAAGTGCCGCCGTGGAGACGGAGCGAGGCGATCAGATCGTGAGCGGACGTTTGGTGGGCAGGTCTTCGCAGAGCCGCGAGAGCAGGAAACGGCTTGCGGAGGTCTTCATCCAGCGGTGGATTGGTCTTGGCTGATGATAGGGAGAGTGATAGCGAAGCGGTTAGCACATTGCACTCTAAACCGAACAACCGGAATGTAATTTCTGGCCACGGCTAACATCATGACGAACATCTGAACTTATCGAGTTCCCTCTAGTACCACCAATTCACCAGCCCGAACTGACTAACGTGGTGAAGTATGGTTAAACCACTCACGGCCGCAATATATAGGGAGGCCTTCATGCAGCAGTGGATTGACAAAGATCTGAGAATTATTATTATAGAGGTATGCCACATGAATGCTGGTCATCGCATTGCAGGAAGGGTGTCACCCTCTTTGGGGAGAACGTATTTAAAATAGTTTGTTCCATGCTGACCACGTGCCATACGCTGGCGATTACAACCTAGACCACTAACGTGCGATTTACAAAAGTGGCTTAGCTCTCGAGTAAGCAGGCAGAGCAACTGCACTGGCACCCACGGGCCAGACGGGGCCCAGGTGTCAGGCTATGAAGGAAGGTCGGTGTGTGGGGGGGGGGATGGGGCATTGGCCATTTATATGACTTACATAGGGATCCCCGAGACTTATATAGAAACTCAGACTTAGATAATCATAGTCTCACATGGAGATCAATGGACTTACATTTCTATTGGCCTATGTACACTTGCATAAAGAACCAAGTTCTTGCATAGAGACCCATAGAACTACATATACCTCTAGCTACGGATGTTGCCATTGTTTGTGTGCCACTCACCAGCGAACCAGAAAATATTCATTGAATAATTTATCCCTGCAAATTTTGGAAAGGCACAACAGAGGAAATATTAGTAAATGGCTAAGCAGAGGTTACAGACAGCCGAGCGGTTGCTACCCGGCTGGCGGAACATGTAACAACTCGCGCTGGAGATGGGCGCAGCTGTAATTGCAGTCGGCATGCAGTGGAAGGGAATCACTTTTCCTGACACCGTTGACACCGAGCCAAGTGGGGCTTGCAGCTTGCTGCTGCTGCTGCCGCCACGAACCACATGTGTGAGTGTGTGTGCAACTCGGCGATTAGGCGGTGACACGGCCCGGCGGGAGCGCGTTTTGTTGCAGAGCTCCGCTGTTACAGAATAGTGGGCTGCCCTGGCCAATGCTGTATTAACCATAAACACTGCGCGCCGTCTGCTTTATGGTGGACTGGAAAAAACACATTCCCGGGATGTTATTCGGTGATAAATATGCCAAGTGTGCTGTCGTAATGGTCCAAATTTGCCAAATAAAAAAAAACCCAAATCGCTTAATTGGGAAAACTCAGTCACATCTAATACCCACTGGCAGATTATACACATGTGTAGGCCAGTCCTGAGTACACCCTGTGTCGCATTTGTTTGGTTACCACTGGGGGTCCCCTCGGCAAAACTCCCTAAATTCCCGCAGAGAAAGTGAATGGTTGAGATGAGAAGGCGCTTTGAGATTCTGGGCATTTAAGGCCCCTGTGAATGCAAATCCCTCTCTCTTATCCTTATGTGGACAATGACCCCTATAGTTAACGCGTGGGAACGCAGATGTGGAAATTCTGCACACCAACCTGCTGCTCTTAACATTAACTAAAATATTCTTGGTTCTTTCGGTAAAGTCACGTAGAAGGGAAACAATACAATATATTCTTGCTGTGGTTTTCACACCTGATGATGATTGCTTGTGTTGCAGTCGAAACGTCGTGAGAATTTTATCGTTTTATATTTTTATTATTTTATTGTTTCCCTTCTACGTGACTTTACCGAAAGAACCAATAATATGAATCCCAGTCACGAAAGCTTTAAATCAAAATTTACCAGGTAATTTACCAGGTAAGGCCCACTGAGCTATTTAGCTTTTTTTCAGAAGTGACCTGGCCACAAATGATAGCTCAACGATGTGGCTTATCGCGTGGAAAGTTATAGCAGCCAAATACTCTAAACTCGCGTCGATTCTAAATGTGAAGGGAAAAAACCGGAGGACCCGGAGAAAAATCCACGTGAACATGCAATCTCCAAATATACAACAGGCGTCAAGGTCCGGGTCGAACCCACAATCTCCTGCATACCAGGCGAGGGAGTTAACGTCTGGCCACGGCGGCGTTAAAAAATCCATCAGACAACACTTTCAGCAGCACTGATTCAAGACGGGCAAACTCTCGACCGGTTTCGACACTCAAGCGTCTCATTAAGCAGCAGATTGTGGGTTCAGGCTGCTGGTTGGAGACTCTCGCTCTTCCGGAAGACGTTTTCAAACCCGGCGGCTGCGTCTTTCGGAAGGACACATCTTCTGAAGACTTTGAAGACTCCGCGACATCTTCCGCTGCTGGTGCCTCTTCCGGAAGAAGTTTTCAAAACGCTGCTACCTCTTCCCGCAATAATCGATAGTTTAATCTTGATTTGAAGCTTTCGTGACTGCAGGAATCCATACTCTTTGGTTCTTTCGGTAAAGTCACGTAGGTAGAAATAAAATTAAACAAATCACCTACGTGACCTTAACGAAAGAACCAAAGAGAATCGATTGTTTGTCTCTTTAAGATAACTAGTTCATGAAAACCTGTCTTCGCCTGGCAAAAGTTTTCAATAAGTATAATATTAAATTTGATTATTTTTTTTTTACAATTTTCATCTACAGACACTAACACCTACTCCAAAAATGGGTATTTTCCCGCAAAAAACACAAATTGTTGACGACTTAATTCAACTTCTTTTATTGAAAGACGTACCCATCGGAAACCGCTCAATTTAAAGATGATGTCCTTTTTTATTAGAAATAATTAACATTAATGAACTTAATACTCTGAGGGGAAGCTCTCCTATCTTTTACCGTTTTTGAATTATTCAGATTTGGAGCCAGCCATAAGTGACGTCACGGACCTGGGGGGGGGGGGGGTCAGACATTTGTGACGACGTGTGACGAGGTGGGGGGAGGGGGTTTGAGAAATGTGACGTCAGATAAAAATGCGCAACTTTAAATATAAACAACGCACTTAATTAAATAGAATTGTTATAACAACACTAATTTTTATTAAGTATCATTATTAACTATCTGATTATTTAAACTTACTCAGGTCACCTTTTATTTATTCCATGAAGGAGCATTTTGCTTCTCCATGGGAGAATGGAGAAGCATACATTTTGTAAATTTTTTGAATGATTGTTATTAAACATTTTGATTCTAATGGTTCAACCAGGGCTTTTCATTATGTGGAATGAATATGTGATTGTTATAATTGTCCTCTCCATTTTGCTTCATTCTACTACAAAGTTTGAAATATTTTTTTATGCTTATAATTACTTTTAATATTTTATAATTATAAGAGAATTTCAATATAATATTCTGAACATCTGCAGTTTTAGTTAGACGTTGAATATTTTCAAATGAATTTTATGCTAAATTTCAGCTTTCCAACGCCTCCTTTTAAATACGTGTTTTCTCCTACAATATCAGAGTGCATTAAATACGCACTACAATGACAATAGTTTAAAGTGATTTGAAGCATTTTTTTTCAAAATGGAAATATGGTTTGGGGGGGGCAGAGCTTTGTGACGTCATGTTTGAGGGGGGTCTGACTTTTTGTGACGCCGTGTGACGAGGGGGGTAAAAAAAATCGGCCAAAATCGCGTGACGTCATTTATGGACGGCCCATTTGAACATCATAAAATGCAGATTTTTTTTTCGTCCAAACCCGCTTAAATCCGAAATATCTCAAAAACAATAAAAGCTAGAAAAAATGGTTCTCGCTTTAATTATAGTTGCTCTTTAACGCTCTATCAAACGACAAAAATGGCAATGTTATATTTTTTACGGTTTCTGAATGACACCACGCACAATCATATTTATGGGACACTGAAAAACGAGAATTGGGGGCCTTAAAATAAAAAATCTCGGATTTTCAGATTTTCCCTGTTCTCTGTGTTCTAAAAGCTAAATCTTGACTTAAAGCTTTTGTGACTGCAGGAATTCATATTCTTTGGGTCTTTCTGTAAAGTCACGTTGATAGATTCAAAGAAAATAAAAAACTACGACGTTTCGATCGCAACACACGACCGCTTGTGTTGCGATCGAAACGTCCGAAAGAACCCATAGAGTATCCTAAAAGCTACTTGTTTAACACATTTCATCTTTCTGTCTTGTCGGGAAGTAACCCTCGTGGTTTTTGAGACAGATTAAGGTTTTAATTTAGATAATTTACACGCACGATAAACAGTTTACAACAGTACTGTCTTACTACACGCATACAATTCGCATTAACCACAACACAGTATACCTACACGATTTGAAGCTTTCGTGATTTCAGGAATTACTCTTTGGTTCTTACGGTAAAGTCACGTAGAAAATAAATAAATTAAATAATAGAATACGACGTTTCAATTGCAACACAAGCAACCGTGATCAGGTATAACTAAAATTGAGAGAGAGACAAAACACAGACACGGAGACACACAGACAGTGTCTGTCTGTGTGTCTGTGTTGTCTCTCTCTGCTTGTGTGTCTGTCTGTGTGTCTCCGTGTCTGTGTTTTGTCTCTGTTTCTCTCAATTTTAGGTCTACCTGATCACGGTTGCTTGTGTTGCAATCGAAACGTCGTTTTCTATTATTTAATTGATTTTCTTTCTTCGTGTCTTTACCGAAACAACCAAAGAGTATACATACAGTATATAAAAGGGGTGTGTAAAATATACGTTTTTACATACAGACTTACTTTTTGGCAGGTATCGCGATGTAATCAAATCGTCAGTGTCAACAATAGACGCGCTACTGCAGCCTGTACAACTCAGTCACCACACCAGAGACACCAACAGCCGCCACTAAGTGTCCGTGTCGTATAAACCACAGCGCCTGTGCCAGGCTCGGTGCACTTTGAGGCCACGTGGAAGTGCCGACGGCGGCTAGCTGACAGAGGAGGTCACGAGAGAGAGAGAGCCAGGTTGCCGTTCGTTGACTGCATAGTTGACCCACACGATCTAGATTTGAAGTTTTCGTGACTGCAGGGATCCATTCTCTTTGGTTGTTTCGGTAAAGTCAAGTAGGTATAAAATAAAATTAATAAAATTAATTAATTTATACCTACGTGACTTTACCGAAAGAACCAAAGAGTATTGAACCATGCAGTTTACCCCGTATTTTTGTACAGGGAAATTGAGTTTGCAGGTCCATAGGCAGCGTTCAGCCGTTTCAATACGGGCAAAACAATTTATTGTTGTCTATTTGTTTGTGTTTATTCGTTGTGATGGGACTTTATCGGATGAACTTTGAGATGTATAAGGGCGCGGGGTGACGAATAAGGTCTGAATAATAAGGTAGGGCACTGATCAGGGATTGACATGTACAGTATGTGACTGAGATGACTGGCAGATGTAACAGCTGTTGCCCCCTGCTGTGCCAACACGAACCAACATCAAAACACATTCCTGCGGAGGGAGCTGGTAGGAACGTTGGGTTGCTCGGTCAATGGCCAGGGTCAACGGCGGCACCACGTGGTGTATTCCGCAAAGATGCCCCACTGTGCGGGCGGGCACAAGCTGGCGTGAGTAGGTTAACCGTTGAGTTTTATAAGGGCACCACGGGGTGACCACCCCCCCACCCAGCCCCACCCCTCCCCACCCAGCCCCTCCCACCCAGCCCCTCCCCACCCTCCCCTCTCCACCCAGCCCCACCCCTCCCATTTTTGAATGCACGACGGACGGACACAATAATCCCCTGTGGGCTGGTGGTGTAACCAGGAGGTTCCTACCAGTAATATCCCCCGTATAGCCTTAGACTATTGGGGCAAGTGCTGTTATCCAGCATCACGTCCAGCCGCCTTTGTCTCTCCAGTGGCTGAGTCGACCCAGGACCGATTCACGATAATCGTCACTGGTTTTGGTCGCTGTGGAAGCGGGAATCGAATTCAGGTCGCCGGGTTCGTAGCGAACCGCTCCCCAACACCGCGCACAATAATCCACAAACAAACCGACACAACACCCCCTCACTGCGAATTCTACGATAACTTCCCGCTGCAACAAGCGCGAAACGTCGAACGCACAACTCCGCTAAGTTTCACAGGGGACTCATTTTTTTTCTGGAAGATGGTTTTCAACGCGCTGCTAAACATCTTCCGGAAGACAACTTCCTCTTCCGGAATATGTTTTTTAAAAAAATCGCTTGTTCACCATCTTCCGGAATATATCTTCGTATTCCCCTTCCAGAAGACGATGCTTCTAAACCGCTGCTAATCATCTTCCGGAAAAATTCTACCGCTTCCAGAAGACCTTGCTTCCAAACCGCCGCTAACAATCTTCCGGAAGACGGTTTTCAAACCGGCGCGCGACCGTCTCCGCCTCCTCTTCCGGAAGCGCCCCCACAATGCCGCGCGCGAACAACGGCTTGAGTTTCGGCGCCATTTTCGAGCGGCGGTCTCAGAGCGCCGCTCCGTCAGACGCCCTTCCTTGGCGCCTCGCTCCTCTCCGTCCTCCTCCTCCTCCTTCCTCCTTCTCCTCACCGCCGCCGCCTTGTCCCCCCCCCCTAACCTCAACCCAGCCACGACATCTCCCGTTCGCTCGCCTTCTCTCCGCCGACTCGCAGTTTGAAGGGTGAGCATTGTCCCGACGATTCTACTCCCGCCCACCCTCCCCGATGCCCCTTCCTCTCTCCCCCCGCTGCGTTCGTGCGAAGTTTTGTGAGGCGGCGGCGGTGGTGGCGGCGGCGGTGGTGGCGCGCGTTTTGTGCGGTGGTTGCTTTTTTTAGCGGGAGAAGGCGCATCGAGCGGCCGGCGTAGACCCGACAACTCGAAAATTGAGGGGGTGGGGGAAAGAGGGAAAAGCTGTGGATCCCGCGTAAAAAGTTAGCGGAGTTTCGTGTGACTCGTTGCACACTTGTTGCAGCGCGAGGTATCGTTGATTGTGGACTGAATGGGTGTTTCGCGCGCTGTTTTGCAGACTTGCAGTAGCGCGTACTACTGTTAAGAAGGCAGAGGGATTTGATTGCCTTGATTTGCCTTTGAGCCGTCGATCTTCGCACGTACGCATAGCGTTACCCGCAACGAGAAAGTCGTTGATGTAAAACCGCGTATTTTATTTTTTAAACCCATTTTATATATTTTCTTAGGTCTTTCGGTAAAGTCACGTTGAAGGGAAACAATAAAATAATAATATATATAAAAAACAAAAAATTCTCACGACGTTTCGACCATAACACAAACGGTCGTCATCAGGTGTGTCGGTTTGTATACTGTCAGTAACGTGTTGTGGTTAAGGCGTATTGTATGCGTGTAAGAATATACTGTTGTATACTGTAAATGTTTATGCTTGTAAAGTATGTATCTTATAAATCGAACACTAATGACTACACGAGTGAAATATATATGCTAAGTATACGGAATGTCAAAACAATGAGAAACCTGTTTTCTTTAAAAAGGCGTCACTTTTTTAAAATAATTTAATCGTTAAAAGAAAAAAAATGGCGTTTGGCTACACAAACATTTTTGTTAAGAGATAAATAGTAAAAAATAAAAAAAGTCTTACATCGTTCCCATTGGCTCGTCTTGTAAAGTTACCACAGATGTGGAATTGAAAATCCGAAGAGTGGCCGGGGGGGGGGCAATGGGAGGAGGCGGAGATTCCTCCCCAAGTTCATGTAAAAAGCGGGCGAGGGTGGCCGCGTTACGGAAAAAAAGTGGCCTCGTAGTGGGGGGGGGGGGTGTTTTGAGCGTGCAATTGCATTTACATAAATTACAAATCAGGCAAAAAAATCTTGAACCTTGAGATGGAAATTGCCCTGGACTTTAGTTGAGCTGGACATGGGATGACCCAGATGTTAAGTGTGTAGGGGGTGCAATTGCACCAGGAACCACCGGCCGGACGGGCCCAAGCGCCGAGTTATGAAGAGGTCGGAAATTAAACAAGAGGGTTCCAGTTTTATTTCTTCCACCGTGACTCATGCCAACCACGCCACTGCAGATGTTTTGTTAAACTTGAGCATACCGCCACATTCGTTGTTCAGCTTGATGTAGTTATGTATATGCTTACAATTGTACCGGCAACATCTGCATGAGCACATATGGTATCTAAAAAGGAAGACATCTGTTAAAGCCAATGTGAATTTTCCAAGCCATTGGTTTAGACCGGTGTTTGGCCCATGGACCACTCAGCCGATGCAAACAATACCAATAATCCAAAATGATTGATATTTCCGGAATATAAACACTTTTTTAATGCAGCTATCAGGTTTTGTTTTTTAGGCGTGTCATAGATCTTAGGGTAGTTTAATTAGGGTATATATTTTATTGTTTCCCTTCAACGTGACTTTACCGAAAGAGCTAAGAATATGAATTACTGCAGTCACGAAAGCTTTAAATCAAAATTTAATTAGGGTAGTTTAACCTAATTTTTTTAAAATGAAATTTCATTTGTAAAATATGAATTAACGTCCGAAACTAAAGGTGTTAAGCATTCTCACTATATCCGGATCAACCTGACGGACCGCCCCAGATTCACTCGGGGTCCGGGGACCACACTTTGAGAACCACTGATTTACGCTCAACACGTTTGGCCACTAACTTGAATGTTCTCGCTGTCAGTAAAGTGTTTCAACTGAAATACTAAAGTCTGACTTATTCACTCTTGGTGATTGGTACAATTTTCTTTTACAATTCAGTTTTTTTTGCCCATTCATGTGTTTTATTAATCCCTGTTTTTGTGCATTTTGTGGGTCTTTTATAGGAGAAAATGTCTCCAATGGCAAAAGCCTCAACGGCCAAGAGGAGGGGAAACAAAGACGACGATGCAGATGACTTTGCATCAGAGCCTTTGGCATCGGAGCAAGCGCCAATTTCTGGTCTGTAATGCCTTGTATTTGTGGGCTGCATATAAATCCTCAAAATTGTAGTTTTTGTAATTTGCCATGTTTTTGTTGTACTAATCACACGAAGTTGTATTTACTTATGCAAATCTATGATACATTCATGTACTTTGGCTCTCGCATTCACAAGTCCATGGGGGTTTCATTTAAGAGTTGCAGTGTGAGTGGAAATTTATTGTGTGCAATACTGTATTTGAAAAAACAGTGTGGTTAAAAACCCCAGAGTGGAACGCAAAACACTTTACTCAGCACCATTTGATGGCATTCATATTCCCATGGGGTTGCACTTGGGTTTGCCTGATGCAGCAGAGTCTCCCGAGGACCGGCGTACCCTGCAGGAGATCCTGGAGAGCATTCCTTCCGCTCCTCCAGCTGCCATGACCAACGAGCCCGGGGCTGCACGCCTCATGATCACACACATCGTCAACGAGAACTTCAAGTCCTATGCTGGAAAACAGGTCCTGGGCCCTTTCCACAAGGTGGGATGGCGTGACTGCGCTCGTCAATTTGCCCCTTCCCCCTGGGCTGGTTAAATTGCCAGGGAGGCCTGAAGTCAAACACTTGAGAAAAAAAAATCCACACCAGATTTGTACTTGTTCAATACCGGGTGTTTGATGTAACAATAAGTGGACCGGCCTGGAATATTTGTTATGTCCGATGATGGCAGGCAACTGCCTGATGATGCTAGTTGTAACTATCGGCAAAACATCTTACCCAATGGTTAAATGTAGGATTTCTCTCCAACACCGGTGTGTTGACACAGTAATACATTGACATGTTTCCTCATGTAACAACTTTATTAATTGGCTGTGTCGGGTGGCGCATATAATCCTGTGCCCCACCCCTTACACTATAATTGACCAACTAAGTCAACAATCAAATTCCAGTGATTGTTGCAATTTTCCCATTTGATGTTTAAAATTGAATTCAAGACATGTAGAAAAGTTATCTTGTTTATATTCAAAAAGGTCACGTATACAATATCCTGTGCATAGGGGGAGTGGTGGCAAAGTGGGTAGTGCACTGCAGTAGGAACTTGGTGACCTGAGTTTGATTCCCGGCAAAGGCTAACACGAGCAACGGTGATATATGAACTGGTCCTGCCCCCCCTCATCAACCCGTACTGTCCAGTGCGGTGAAGTATAGTCAAACTGTAAACACCATGACTGATATAGCATGTGGCAGCCTTCATTCAGCAGTGGATTATCAAAGTGCTGTGTATCATTTGTTCTTACAAATCTGTTAATAACCTTATGCCCCCATGTAGGTCTAGAAAGTATTCCTGTTAAAATGTTTGCTGCTCTTTTCCATCGTCTTGCGAGCAGCGCTTCTCTTGCATCATTGGACCAAACGGGAGCGGCAAGTCCAACGTGATCGACTCGATGCTCTTCGTGTTCGGCTACCGTGCCCAGAAGATCCGCTCCAAGAAGCTCTCCGTTCTCATCCACAATTCTGAAGCGCATCCTGACCTTTACAGCTGCACTGTGGAGGTCCACTTCCAAAAAATCGTAGACAAGGTGAGTAACTCTGAAGGTGTGCAATAAGTGGGCATGTAATGATTCACACCACGACAAACCCATTATTCAATTGTTAGGATTCGATGTCACTATTTAATTCGGAAATAGCATTGTTTTACATCTTACTTTTATTGGTAAGGTGATGTTAACCTGGAGGTGGAGGAAGCAGTGGCGCAGTTGGTAGTTAGCCCTTTACACGATAAACTCAAGATCTTGACTGGTTCACGGCCATGGCTAATATTAGTGGCGAGTGATATCTGAACCGGGCCTGCCTCTGCCCTCACAAACCCACACTGACCAGGATGGTAAAGTAAAGTGAAACAATCCTCATGACCATCACGCCGTGAAGGGATAGGGAACATTTTCCATATCGAGGGCCAAAATTACTTGAGTGGGCCACACCACTCATGCCTTAAAGTTACTCAGTAATAATGCAAAATAAATGTGCGTGTCGACTGAATATAACAAGGCCCCTGCACTGACATAAGGGACTGAGTGCACTAAAATTATAAACAATGTTGCTGGGTTGAACATTCCCCTTCAGTACGCATTAGTGAGGCTAAAATGTTACAGTAATGGATAAACATGTCGACCATTTTGTAAGCCTCGTGTGGTGGCAGGCTGTATGAAATAAAGTAGAGAGTTGTAGGTCCCCCCCCCCCCTTGTCTAATATCTCTCACCGCTTTTCCACTGACACATCCAAGCTGAGCTGGAACCACACCACGCTCCGCTGGCCTCACAAGACACCTGCATATAACTATTGGCTCAGCTGGGCCAAGAGTAATGATGCGTTAATTGCGTGGTGTGACATCCGAAACACGCTGACGTCTCGACTCTGGCTGACCATAGTCTGCGCAAGACTCGGCTGCCGCGGTGGCGAGATGTTAAGGACCTCGCCTGGTATACAGGAGGTCGTGGGTTCGATGCTTACCCTGATGCCTGTATATTTGGAGTTTGCATGTTCTCCCTGTGGTTGTCTTTTTCTCCGGGTCCTCCGGTTTTTCCTTCCACATTTAGAAACATGCGTTTAAGAGAATTTGGCTGCTTTTGAATTTCCACATGATAAACCGACATTGGGCTATCATTTGTGGCAAATTCGCTTCTCTAAAAGAGCTATAGAGCTCAATGGCCTTTACTTGGTAAAATAATCATTTAGCTGTTTATTTAATAGTTTACAAAGTGGAAAATAAGTATTTGTGACTTGAAGACGTCTGTATAAGAGACGACGAGGTTTGCGAGCGAGCTTGCTGTGCCTTTTCAGGAGGGGGACGATTTCGATGTGATCCCGAGCAGCGAGTTTTATGTTTCCCGCTCGGCGACGAAGGACAGCGTGTCATCGTACACTGTGAGCGGGCACAAGGCCACCTTCCGCGATGTGGGGCAATTGCTGCGCAGTCACGGCATAGACCTGGACCACAACCGCTTCCTCATCCTGCAGGTATTGCTGCCGTGAGGAACTCATTCATAGTTTGGGAGAGCGATGGGTCCCTTCCTGCTGGCCAGACACCCTCCCAGCCAGCGTGACCGGGTGCATGGGGGCTGTGAGTATATACGTGGAGTACACTGAGGAACTGGCGCTGCAGTGGCGAGATGTTAACTACCTCACCTGGTATGCAGGAGGTTGTGTGTTTGATTCCGACCCTGACACCTGTATAATTGGAGTTTTCATGTTCTCCCCGTGGTTGCTTAGATTATTGTCCGGGTCCTCCCGTTTTCCCCTCCACATTTAGAGTCGATGTGCATTTTGAGTATTTGGCTGCTATACATTTCCACATGATAAGCCACTTAAGTTGAGCTCTCATTTGTGGTCAGGTCGCTTCTGAAAAAGAGCTATATATCTCAGTAGGCCTTACATGGTAAAATATAAATCGTTTTTAGTTGAGTAGCTTTTACTGTGGTGTGGACTCTTCGTTTTTCAGAGTACAGTCAAGTCTTGGTTATCCTGGATAATGGGGAACGGAGGGTTAGCCTGGATATAATGGATTATCGAGAGTTACCTGTAAAGGCTATTGGTGTGAAGCTCCGTCGTTTTGATTAATCTTCCCAAGATGGAAATGACTGGCCTCGTGGAGCTGTAGCAGCACGTAATGGTTTGTATTTGGGATGTCAGGAGTTACAGACCATGCTGTGCTGCCGCAGTGGCACGAGGAGAAGCGCACTCTCACTGCTGGACCCCCAATCAGGTTGACGGTTGTATTTTCATCTCAGGAGGCAGCTCATGGTGATGAATACAAAAATATCATATGGATTTAAGCGTGTAAGCCAATGTGTATTTAGGAAATGTTGTGTTTGCACCATTATTACAACAAAGGCTATCGTGAAGGCACTATATTTATTCTCTAAGATTTACTTGACAGATTGGTATAGTCTGCCCGTAGCGGGCCATGTTGCAATGCACTTTTTTTCCAAGTAAGTCATTTGCGGGTGAAAATGTATCTTCTCAAAGTAACATACTGCCTTTCCTGCTGTAGCAGCACGTAAATATTGGCGTGGGCACTTGCTGAAACCTCCAATGTTAGCTTGCTGCTGCAGTTTGATTGGCCCTTTCTCCGGACCCGAAACTTCTTTCTGAAATTATCGTATCCACAAAGAGTTTATGAATGTATCATTTATCGCACGTGAGTGCAAGGTGCCAGCTCGTTCTCTACTTTGCATTTCTGCCAATTCCTCAATCCTTTATTGGCACGTTGCACTTCACATTAATAAATGTGTCTCAAAGCATTTTTCCGAGTAAAAATTTACATGAATGCCCAATATAATATCTAAAATATACAAGAAAATTTGAAATGTCAAGGCAAATATACCCTTGACGATTTTTTGAATAAAAGCTTATTATTCCAACCGATTGCTAACATGCTCATCTCATGTAGCTGCATAAAATGACGTGCATTGAAAGAGGGAGCTTTTAATGGAAATCTAAATGTGCAAAACTATCAGCGCCTCTGACGATAGTTGGGAGATCTTTCCATAACATTGGAGTGAGACGGATAAAGGAACGGCCGCCAAAAGTCATACAGTGAAAGTAGCGAACTACGGTGTAGTGCTGTGAGCTAGAGTAAAGCCCTGGTATGAGCATGGTTCTCTCGAAGATCAGAAAGGCGAGTGTGGTCTGTGTCATTTTAAATCCATGTAAAATCACAGAATTCCCTCGTTTTTCACTAACTTGCCATCCGCTAATTTGTGGCTATTTGCGAATCATGCCTGGAACTTCACGACTGCATCGAGAGAGAAAGAAAGTGATGAAATAAAGCTATGAGAAAGAAAGATTATTTATGCATTTAAAGTAATATAATTTTCCGTGAAATTCACGAGCATCTCCGGAACGTGCCTCTCGCGAATAGCGAGTTGAACACTACTCTCAAAGGCCATAGCCGTACAGATGTCTGTTGGCATCTCCAACTGCAGTCGGTGTATCTGGGTCGGTGGGGCGGGCTACGTGTGCAGGGTGAGGTGGAGCAGATCGCGCTGATGAAACCCAAGGCGCAGACAGAGCACGACGAGGGCATGCTGGAGTACATGGAGGACATCATCGGCTCAGGTCGCTTCAAGCCAGCCATCGAGGCCTGCTGCCGCCGCGTCGAGCAACTCAACGAACTGCGTGGAGAAAAGGTGGGCATGGTGCATGGGTGCATGAACGTTTGCTCGCTTAGGGCTGAGTAGGATTTTAAAAATACCTTTGTTGGACCACAACAAAGATGAGGATTCCCCCGCATAGCCTTAACAGACTGTTGAGGCAATTGCTGTTGGCGAGGACTTATTGAGGCTGGCACGGCGCATGAGGGGGGTGGGTTAGGCCAGCACCACGCCCGATCACCTTTGTCTCCCCTGTGGCGATGTTTACACAGCTCACAAGGGGTGCTCATTTGAGACGGTCGATCTAGGGGAGGCCTAGGACTGGATCAGATATTCATCACTGGTGTTGGCCCTGAGCAGGAATCAAACCTGGGTCGCTTGGCTCTTAGCACGGCGCACTAACCGCGACATTACCGCTCCCCACGAGTAACATTTTCAAATACCTTTGTCAGACCACACACACAGACCGTATTAAGCTTAGTCCTGCTGGTCTGCCCTAGAGTCCCTAGCCCAGGCAATACTGGGTTATTTAGAGAGGAAATGTTTGGGTTTATTGGCTTGGTTGTTGGGCTTCCCTAACTATCCTTAGCCGCTTCCGGTGAGCATTTACGGTTGATGAGAGTGCGTGCATGCTTGTGATTGTGGGCTCTGCCGCAATGCAGCTGAACCGAGTTAAGGTGGTGGAGAAGGAGAAAGACGGACTGGAGGCGGAGAAGAACAACGCTGTGGCTTTCCTGATGGCCGAGAACGATATCACCAATCTCAAGAACAGCCTCGTTCAACACAAAATGTAAGCCAGTTGCTGGAATTGAACTGTTTACCTTTGCCCGTACCGAGACAACTGCAAGTTGAAGGGGCTGTCCCATTCACTGCCGAATCTCAGAATTTGCAAGCGGTTCAGTGTAATTTTTATTCAGTGTCATAGAGCCGTTTTTAAAGACATGTTACTCACCGCAGAGAACTAGTAACACGATCGCACTTTACGATAGCTGCGCCAAACTGTGCCACACGCCCTCCCACATTGCCTTGTGGGAGCCGCAGTACCGATAAAGTTATTTTATTTTAGCTTTTCTTATTCTTCCGTTCCATTGACGTACATGTACGTCAGCTGAACTGGAAGGGGTTAAGTTTATTATTTTTTATTTTTTCCCTTGGTTATATTGCAGTTGTACTATCACGAGACATTGATGATATGGGACAATTTTGGAACTCCCATGACTAAGAATGTCACTTTTGCCCTGCAATAAGTGTAACATGTAATTAAAAACGTTACATTTTCATGGCTTGAATAGGCTGAATGATGTGCTAAATAAGTCGCATGTTTTTGTGCGGTCATTGGTGATGGGCAGAGATGATCATCTCGCTAAACTCAAAGAATCCGGTTTAGTTACAAGTAGCTGACTTCAAAGGGGATCTCGCTGATGCTGACCGAGTGCCCTGTACATGGTATTATGCCCCTCCGTCTGGGCCACCACCTCTCTTAGGATTTAATATTGACTTAAGTAATTAAGTGTTACAGGCTGCTGCGGGGTTACGTTTTGGGCAGCAGATGGCACTCCTTTGTTCTATTGTACTCTTCTGCTCTACTGCTATGCTCCCAGAATTCGTCAGCCTGCACTGGCCAGCTTGGTGAAGTATGGTTGACGAATATAACCAGCGTCACTTGAGGGAGGCCCTGATCCAGCAGTGGATTTACAAAAAGCGTTATATGTGTCCACGAACGGGAAGTACCCGGCATTGCCCGGGGGAAAAATTTATTTCAAAACTTTTCTTAAAAACATAACATTTACAAATACTAAGCTATTGTGAAAGCCCGAAGTTCCGTTTGTCTGTCCATTTGTCCGTGAACAAAATTTTATGAGGCTTGCAGAAGTCCTGAATCAAAAAGTAATCAAATAGTGGGGGGTGAATAGTTTAACCCCCCCCCCCCCCCCCCCCGTAGGCATCTATACCTACACACCCTACATACAATAGAGTGAGTACTATCTAGTGACTATTGTAGTATCTGGCTCTATAGTAGTATCTGGCTCAACAGTAGTTTCTACTGACTCTAGTAGTATATATTGACTATTGTATCGACTGACTTTATAATAGTATCTGCTGACTGTAGTTGTAGCTACTGACTATACAGTAGTATCTACTGAGCACAGTAGTATCTACTGTCTCCATAGTATCTACTGACTGTATATTAGTATCTCCTGACTGCAGTAGTATCTACTGACCATAGTAGTATCCTCTGTCTCTATAGTCGTATCTACTGACTGCAGCAGTATATATGGACTGTAATGGTATCTATTGACTGTAGCATTATCTCCTGACTCAAGAGTATCTACCGACTCTACGGTAGTACCTACCGATCTATAGTATCTACCGACTATCATAGTATCCACTGACTAGTATCTACTGAATCTATAGTAGTATCTACTGAATCTATAGTAGTATCTACTGAATCTATAGTAGTATCCACTGACTATAGTAGTATCTGCAGACTATTGCAGTATCTGCTGTCTATAGCAGTACTTACTGACGCTACAGTTGTATCTACTGACTGCAGCAGTATATACTGACTATAGTGCTATCTACTGACTATAGTAGTATTTACCGTCTCTACAGTAGTATTTACTGACTCTACGGTAAAATTTACTGACTCTACGGTAGTATCTACCGACTATAGTAGTCGCTACTGACTCTACAGCGCTACCTACTAACTATAGTATTATCTACTGACTAGTAGTATCTACTGCCCATAGGAATATCTATTGACCGTAGTATCTATTGACCGTAGTAGTATCTACTGACTGTATAGTAGTGTCTGCTGATTTTACAGTAGTATCAACCAACTCTATAGCAGTAAATACTGACATTACAGTAGTATCTAATGACTATAGTCGTATCTACTGAATCTATAGTCGTATCTATTGTCTTTAGTGGTATCCACTGACTATAGTAGTCACAACTAACTATAGTAGTCACAACTAACTATAGTAGTATCTGCAGACTCTATAGCAGTGTATGATCTTTATGGCGGTACCCTGGGGTATCAAATAATACAAAATGGCCAAGGCAATTAAATATTTTATTTCTGGGACAGTATTATTTCCAGGGGTGTACTTAACTCCGTGACTGGGGTACCAATCAATCCTAAATTAGTGCTACGCGATGTTGATTGCCGCATCGCCGACCATCAACAGAATAAAAATGACCGCGTCACGGACATTGTGCAAGAGCCGGGGTATCGCCATAAGGTTCATATGCTGACTATAGCAGTATGTGCTGACTATAGCAGTATCTGACTCTAATGTATCTACTGACTCTGCAGCAGTATATACTGACTACAGTTGTATTTACTGACTCTACGGTAGTAGCTACCGACTATAATAGTATATATCGACTCGATTGCAGTATCTACTAACTCTACAGTAGTATCTACTACCTCTAATAGTGAGTCACTTCAGAGACGTTCATAGTAGGAGGCATACACGTTTATTCTACACTTTTTACAGTATATGGGATAACTATATATGGGTCAGGACAGCCGGCACACTGCCTGACCCAACACCGACAAGGAGGTGAAGACGACGGCTTCCATTCCAAAACCGCAACAGCCCCGACCCTGCGTCGGGGCCTCTCTTTTATCCTCTCCAGCATGGCCTGGTTCTGCCTTTGGCCACGCCGCCTTCTGAAACCTATCAGAAGGTTCTGGGCTCTGCCCCACGTGTCCCCTCTGTCACCTTTACCCTACATCCGTGCCTATCACGTGCCCTACTGGCAGACCGGCCGCTGTATCCTCAAATGCCCTTCACTGCCAGCAACCGGCGCTACGCGCTCCAGGACACACTTCACCTGCCCTGCTGGTAGACCTGGCTTTTACACCCACGATCCCGCTCTCTACCAGTAACCAGCGCTATGTGCCGTAGTGACCCATTTTATGTCACTACAGTAGTATCTACCAACTCTATAGCAGTATATATTGACTATAGTATCTACTCACTATAATAGTATCTATCGACTCTATAGCATTATCTACTAAATCTACATTAGTGTATATAGACTAAAGCAGTATCAACTAACTCCATGTTAGTATCTACCGCTCTCAAGTCGTATCTACCGACTCTATAATAGTTTATATCGAGTCTATAGCAATATCTACTAATTTGATGGAGTGCCGTGGTGAGGCCTAGTCCCGCGGAGTGTCGCCGGCCTTGGTTGGATTGCACAGCCAGCCGAGGTGGCACCTTGGCCGGCTGGGGCTGGGCTGCTACCCCCCACCTTCCCCCCGCCCGCCCTACAGTAGTAGTATATACGGACTATAGTAGTATCTACCGACTCTATAGTAGTAAGTGCACACATTGGGGTGGGGGGGAGAGAAGAGGACATCGCAATGTGAAGAATTTACGTCGGCGTTTTTTATTTTTTACGCGAATATTTTTTTTCCTGTCCTCACCAATTTGACTACTTTACGAGAATACAATGAGGGAAAAAAAGTATTTGATCCCCTGCTGATTTTGTACGTTTGCCCACTGACAAAGAAATGATCAGTCTATAATTTTAATGGTAGGTTTAGTTGAACAGTGAGAGACAGAATAACAACAAAAAAATCCAGAAAAACGCACGTCAAAAATGCTATAAATTGATTTGCATTTTAATGAGGTAAATAAGTATTTGACCCCCTCTCAATCAGAAAGATTTCTGGCTCCCAGGTGTCTTTTATACAGGTAACGAGCTGAGATTAGGAGTACACTCTTAAAGGGAGTGCTCCTAATCTCAGCTTGTTACCTGTATAGAAGACGCCTGTCCACAGAAGCAATCAATCAATCAGAATCCAAACTCTCCACCATTGCCAAGACCAAAGAGCTCTCCAAGGATGTCAGGGACAAGATTGGAGACCTACACAAGGTTGGAATGAGCTACAAGACCATTGCCAAGCAGCTTGGTGAGAAGGTGACAACAGTTGGTGCGATTATTCGTAAATGGAAGAAACACAAAATAACTGTCAATCTCCCTCGGCCTGAGGCTCCATGCAAGATCTCACCTCGTGGAGTTGCAATGATCATGAGAACGGTGAGGAATCAACCCGGAACTACACGGGAGGATCTTGTCAATGATCTCAAGGCAGCTGGGACCATAGTCACCAAGAAAACAATTGGTAACACATTACGCCGTGAAGGACTTAAATCCTGCAGCGCCCGCAAGGTCCCCCTGCTCAAGAAAGCACATATACATGCCCATCTGAAGTTTGCCAATGAACATCTGAATGATTCAGAGGACAACTGGGTGAAAGTGTTGTGGTCAGATGAGACCAAAATGGAGCTCTTTGGCATCAGCTCAACTCGCCGTGTTAAGAGGAGGAGGAATGCTGCCTATGACCCCAAGAACACCATCACCACCGTCAAACATGGGGGACACATCAAAGGGACGATGGACGGGGCTATGTACTGTCAAATCTTGGGTGAGAACCTTCTTCCCTCAACCAGGGCATTGAAAATGGGTCGTGGGTGGGTATTCCAGCATGACAATGACCCAAAATACACGGCCAAGGCAACAAAGGAGTGGCTCAAGAATAAGCACATTAAGGATCTGGAGTGGCCTAGCCAGTTTCCAGACCTTAATCCCATAGAAAATCTGTGGAGGGAGCTGAAGGTTCGAGTTGCCAAACGTCAGCCTTGAAACCTTAATGACTTGGAGAAGATCTCCAAAGGTGAGTGGGACAAAATCCCTCCTGAGATGTATGCAAACCTGGTGGCCAACTACAAGAAACGTCTGACCTCTGTGATTTCCAACAAGGGTTTTGCCACCAAGTACGAAGTCATGTTCTGCAGAGGGGTATAAAAGACACCTGGGAGCCAGAAATCTTTCTGATTGAGAGGGGGTCAAATACTTATTTCCCTCATTAAAATGCAAATCAATTTATAACATTTTTGACATGCGTTTTTCTGGATTTTTTTGTTGTTATTCTGTCTCTCACTGTTCAAATAAACCTACCATTAAAATTATAGACTGATCATTTCTTTGTCAGTGGGCAAACATACAAAATCAGCAGGGGAGCAAATACTTTTTTCCCTCACTGTAGATTTTCCCCTTGTTTCTGGCAACAAAACAGATGCTAAGATGTTAAAACTCCAAACTGAAACCTTTTACAACGAATCATGTCCGCATTAACCACAATACTTGTGGTCAGAATGCAAACAAAAAACGTACTCAAATATATGCATTGTCTTTGAAACTGATTGGTCCACACCAGAGAAGCTTTCTTTTGAACTTAGTCTCAAAACGGTGTTAGACCAGAGAACGCCAAAAGGCGTACAGCACAAACAATGCATTATCAGAATAATGAGGGCTCGGGGTGAGCAGCTACATCATGGGACCTCCCTTGCCAGTACCAAAATGAGAGTTTTCCCCTTTTTTCTGGCAACAAAACAGTAGCACTTTTCCGTCCCAGGGCTTATTGCGTCGTACGTGTACTTTTTAAAAAACTAAACCCAACAGTTTGTCAGTTGAAAGCGTCACAAGGTACACGCACAGACAGACGCACAGACGGTCAAAAAAATACGTTATAAGGTTAGATAATCATTTAATTTAATGACTTCAGTTGACGTCGGATAACGTTATCTGTGGGTAAAATAAAGGAACGCAATTTGTCCATTGCGCGCACTCATTAAGACTAGAACAAACGAATGCGTTTTTTTTATCCGTCGCACTCAGGCAAACCGCTCGCAAGGCCCTTGCGACGGAAGAGCGGAAGAAGGCGGACATCGAGGAGGCGTCAAAGGATCTGAAGGAGAAAATGGCTGAGCTCGTGCAAGCCAAGAAGGGCAAGGCCAAGGAGCTGCAGGCCATCGACAAGTGAGGAGGGACATCTGTGGAAAAGAGCTTTGTAGCTCATCGGATTCTCCAGTAAAAAAAAGTTCTAATTCTGACTACAATTTTAACGTGCAATTTTATTGAGGGACTATCTTTTTTTGGCCTGGAACTCTTTTTCCTGTTGTTTCGAAGCCTTTCCCAAGCTTGGGAAGTTGCATACTTATACAATATACTTTTATCTAAATTTTGATTTTTGTGACTGCAGGGATTCATATTCTTGGTTCTTTCTACGTGACTTTACCGAAAGAACCAAGAATATACTTTTAGCTACTTTATTTATCGTAATTTGATTACCTTTTCTCAACTTTGCACTCCTATAGTTGTTTGTATTGTTTGTTATTAGAGCTTTCTGACCTGCCCTGACTATCGGACTGTTTCGCACAACTGGGAACCCACTTATAGGAATAGGTTTTACTCTTTCTGGCAATAAAACAGGTGTTAAGATGTTAAAACACCAAACCTACTGCTGTGTCTTGCCAGAGACTAAAACTTGCAGGGTTATTTATTAGTTTGTAAATGTACCTGGTGTTGTAAAGGAGGTTTAGATTACATATTTAATACAAGTTTTGCATAATCCACATTAGTTGTATCCTGATCATCCCTCTCAATTTATTACCTAAAATAAAGGAGCGTTGATTGTATTTTTGCTACGGCTTTCCACAAAACTATTTTTTTTTATTAACTAACGGGCTTTACTTGTTTTATCGTAGGAAACTGAACAAGATCAACGCTTTTATTGAAGAGCACAAGAAAACGTTTGTACAGTACGACCTGCAAGATGTTAAGATGAGGGAGAACTTGAAAAATTGTGCCAGCAAGGAGAAGAAGCTCGCCAAGCAGCTGGTGAAGGATACAGACAAGGTGGGCCGAGTTCAATGTATGGTCAGCTGCTCTGACTCCTGAGTGAGAACATGTGCTGAACATGATTTTGTTTTACTCTTAAGTTTTCTATACCTATTGTACATGTGCAACCCTTTTGTCAATATACTGCCAGATGAGAGCTTCTTTACACTGTGCTGGTGGTCGCCAGTGCGGGTTCGTTGAAGGCGTGGGGGATGATAGGCATGTGAGCATGCAACATTTGATTTTGCTGCACTGCCCTCTGCTGCCCACCACGTAGCCCTCTATAATAATGTCTTGAAGCCCATTCAAGCACTTTGCAGGCTCAAACCTGCTAAACTATTGAGATCTGATAAGATCGGATGCATTCCTGGTGATTTTGTCATAGGTGCTGCTTCCAATGATGACACAGTATATAGATTTTGATTTAAAGCTTTCGTGACTGCAGTAATTCATATTCTTAGTTTTTATTATTTTGTTGTTTCCCTTCAACGTGACTTTACCGAAAAAACTAAGAATATATATACAGTATATAGAGTTTTGTTAGTCATGGGAAGGTATGCATCTATACATCCGTTCATCTTATACTCATGTGCCCAATGATTTACATTTCCACAGCTGAAGGAAATCCGCAACGTTCCGGCAGCGAGCGATCGCACAATCAAAGTTGCAACGGAGTGCAAGGCAAAGCTGGAGGCCAGCAAGAGTGTGGAGGAGGAGAAGCTGAAATCCGTGATGGCTAACTTCGAGAAGGAGACCAAAGGACTGCAGGAGGAGAAGGAGGTGCCCGCAGCTCATGGAAATTATTATTGAATTCAGTACACTTTCAATATTGACCGTACCGATTAGCAGGCTACCATTTACACCACCACAGCTTGTTCGAATTATGATTGGTCGCGTGACAATCCATTCCATACAAAATGTGTATATATGTAGTGAGTTCAACTGAGTCGCAGACTCCCCTTAACAGAATAACAACCTATGGTGGTGACCACCAGGCTAACTACACGAGTTACAACGTAACTGCTTCTATGGACCGGGACCAACAGCTCGGGTCCAGGTCCACGTGTTGGAGACTCGTTGAACGGAAAACGTAGACGAAGGTTTCTTCAGGATGAACAACGCCGGTCCCACTGGGGACCCGGCTTATATTCTCTGCGGCGTGGCTGGCTCCGCCCTTGGCCATGACCACCTTCCAGAGTCCTCGGGAAGGATCTGGATGCTAACCCCGTGACCACCCCTAGCCCCCACTTGGGCCCCTTTGTAGACTTAACTGGTCACGTGTCCTCTCGGGTCAACCAGAGTGCCATGGCCTTTAATAATCTCATCATACAGCCGGCACTCCCACACCTTGTCCTGTAGGGTTGGCACTGCACGCCAAGCGTGGTGCCATCTAGCGCTATCAATCAGCGCTCACCGGGCCCCTCTAGGGCTGGTACTACACCCACACCATTGTGGTATCTGCGATGTTGTTACACCGTGCCTCTCTAGGGCCGGCACTGCACAGTGACATCCCACGATGTCACTACACATTTATATAAAATAATCTTACCATTTGTCACTCCACTTGTAGATGAAGGCCTCACCATGTAGACCGTGAGGTATATTTTATCATACTTCACCATGCTGATCAGTGAGGGATAGTGAAGGTTAATAAACCCATAATTACATATTAAGTTTTGTCTTATTGATAATACAAAAAATATATATTTGCGGCCATATAAACAAGTAGGAAGGAATGTATATATCTCGCGTGGTCGGTGAAATCTTATCTGGGGTTGTGGCCAGCGTGAGCCATGTTTCGGTGGCGCGTACGATTTTTAAGAGCAGCTTCTCTCTCCGCTAACAGGTGAAGCAGCAGGAGCTCCTCGCACTGAGCAAGGAGGTGAACGAGAGGTGCTCCCGCATGGAAGTAGCTCAGTCGGAACTGGACCTGTACATGAGTCGCCACACCTCGGCCCTGGCTGCCCTCAACGAGGCCAAGCAGGCCCTCACCAGCACCACCGAGGGCCTTTGCGGGCGGAGAGAAAACATACGGAAGCTGGAGACAACCATTCCCTCGACAGAGAAGGAGCTCGCACAGGTGGGGGGGGGGGGGGACTGTGGGGCAAATGCTGCCCTTTGATTATTTTTTTTATTGGTGTTGGTCACAATGTTTAAACCGGACGCGAATTTGTTAAAAACTGCTTCGTAGGTTTTCGCAGTTTTGCTGCATGGCTCTCCGATGTGTTTTCGGGTTGTACTGAGTGTTGCTTGACATGAGGTCAGATTTTTTGGGAGGTGCCACGGTAGCGTCATATTCAATACTTCACCTGGTATGCAGGAAGCCGTGGCTTCAATTCCGACCGAGACGCCAGTATAATTGGTGTTTGTGTGTCCTCTCTCCCTGTGGTCATGTGGATTTTTGTCTCTTGGTCCTCCGGTTTTTCCCTCTGCATTTATAAACATGCGTTTAGAGTATTTGGCTGCTATAAATTTCTCCATGATAAGCCACTTTGGTGAGCTATCATTTGTGGCCAGGTTGCTTTAGAGTGGGCCTTACCTTGTAATATAAAATAGTTGAGTTTAGTTTTCACTCCCTGTGTGCTGGGACCTTTTCTTTGAACTTACTTCAAGCTCCCAGTGTGTGGAGCGAAATGTTGGACATCATGCTGAACAACTTGTGGTACAACGCGAAAACATGTCGGGAGAGCCACGCAGCTCATCCGTGCCAACCTTTGCAGTAGAAAGAGAACGAGCGTGCTATCCCTTGCTCATTTTGAACAGGAAGGAACTCAAGTTGAATTCCACGCACGTTGTGGATGTTGGGGATTTTGTGCCAAGTGCCGTTTCGTCGACCCAAACAGGCCCAGCTGGAGCTGGAGAAGCTGGCACCTCTGGAGAACGCAGCGCGCGCAGAGGTGCGAGCATTGCGTCAGAAGACAGAAGAGGCGAAGAGCTCCCTGTGTGCCTCACGCTCGCGCAACAAAGTGCTGCAGTTGCTCATGGACCAGAAGAACAAGGGCTCCCTTCCCGGCATCTATGGTCGCCTGGTACGCAGGCAACGAGTGCATAAATTGGGCGCCGCGGTGGTGAGATGACAACTACTTCGCCTGGTAATACAGGTGGTCGTGATTTCAATCCCAACCCCCCGACACCTGTATATTTGGAGTTTGCGGTTTCTCTCTCTCTGTGGTTGCGTGGATTTTTCTCCTGGTCCTACGGTTTTTCCCTCCACATTTCGAAAAATGCGTTTAACAGTATACATTTTCACGTGATAAGCTATCATGTGTCCAGGTCACTTCTGAAAAAAGAGCTATATTTCTCAGTAGGCCTGATATGCTAAAATAAAAATATAGTTTTAAATGTTTTGAAAGATGCAGAGTGGACAACAGTGCCTTGTGGAGTTGAACACAAGGCAAGTGCTGCACTGCAATGGGTTGTTGTAAGAGCATCACAACACATCAACGCTCCACTGTCTGGCCATAATTCTGTCATCCATCACTATTATAGGTTTTGATTTCGTTGCCGTTTTCATATGCTCCATCTTCCTTCCATCGTAAAGTTGGGTGCCATTGCATGTTAAGCAATTAATTGGGGTGTTGCGGTTGAGCAGTGATTCACGTATTCCACGATGAACCTGGCAACCTGAGCTTGATCTTCACTCCCCCCACAACCATCTCCAACCCGTACTAATCTGCATGGTAAAACAATGACACGGCAGTGGGGATCCTTTGAGCAGCTTTGCATTGACTAAGTTTGCTGTGTACATTACCGTATAAGCCAGTGTTCTTCACTAAAAGAGGGATGGGGGGGTGCACTTTCGCCGATCAGACATCATCAGTGTGAGAGGCCGCCAGGCATGTGAACCCCCATTGGGGGTTTGACAGCAGCACGACAATGGGGAGTATTTTTATATTTGTGTACGGTCGGGGGCCCGCACGTCAGGGGCTGCACCAAATGCCACTGGGGGTCCCGCAGGTGGCCCTGCGCGGGCCTTGCAATAAGAACATTGGCATAAGCTAATGGTCGTGAAGGTTGGTTAGCAGCGGCGGCTGTTGTGCGAGCTCCTCCCCCCCATCACCACTCTTTTTGAATATGACAGGGGGACCTGGGAGCCATCGAGGAGAAGTATGACGTGGCCATTTCGTCATGCTGCGGTGCACTTGACAACATCGTGGTGGACACCATGGACACGGCGCAGGCGTGCGTCACCTACCTGAAAAAGCACAACATCGGTTCCGCCACCTTCATTGGTCTCGACAAGGTGACTCGATTGCACATGGGAATCGGGTCTGTATACAGAAACTCTTGAAGTTCCCTAGCCAGCAAACAGCCCCGTAGCCAGCAAGCGTGAAACGTTGGATCGATAATACTTTTTTAAATTGATTCGTAACAAAAGGAAAAATGTGCATTTCACAATCTGTTATGTTTGATCTGTATGTTTGGATATATTTGGGTCATGTAAACCTTGTATTCACCATACATTCTACATTCACAATCATGGGAGATAAAAGATCCCAACCTTGTAATTCATTGATTTATGAGGCCGATTCATTACGTCTTTCAGTTAGGCCTCATCTGCTTTGTTATTTTATTCATAATGTTCCTTCCAGGAAAACCATAAAAAGTACAAGCTTCTTACTCAAAGCAAACATTGTAAACCATATACAACAGTTATTGTCACTCGATACCTTGCAACTAATTGTTTAAAATACATCAAAACAGTATAGTAGATATTACAAATAATGGTCGCTTAATTGGTTGGTTTTGAAATATACAGTATATCATCCAAAACTATCTGAAGGCACTCGCATTCCCCTGCACCTCAATTAATTTAGTAAATGCTGCTACCACGTCTTTCATCACCACGTTGGATAAGATATCAGTTTGATCACCAGATGCCTCCTTGAAATGAATGATTGCTAGCCAGGCAACCCACTTTAACTTACGAGTTGGCCAACACCTGGCCACTTCCCAGCTAGCACGAAAATGGCATCATCACTTTGTTCAGACACAGCAGGATGTTTGTCGTGCAATGTGGGCTTCACTCCAAGCTCGCCCGCCCACTAGTAAGCCCAGATTGCTGTGAGCGCACACTGCTTGACTAAGCTGTCAAGGGGTTCTAAATAAATTATTTAAATGCATTGCTCCAGTGGCTTCCTGTTATCGTAAGGAAGAGCAATCCAGACGGCAGCAGAAGCGCATCTGAAAGCGCGCGATGCAGTGATTGTCTTTGTTCGATAGTTAGCTAAAAGCCGCTGCTGCGAGGATGACCGGAGTTCGCATGATGGTTTATGCTCTTTGATGAGATCAGCATTTGTGGCAAGCACTTTGTGTGTAATGAATGCTTCCTCATAATGTATTTGTTCGGCAACCGGAAGCCAGTGCAGCTCAGCAAGCATCGTACAGAGCGCGAACGGTGAGGGCGGTTGGATACAGATATTCCGCGGACGATAGCCGGAGGCCAGGTGCTTGCGGGGCAGGAGAATGATGACAGCAGCAGCTCTCTCTCGAAGTTATAAATACTAACGATGGACGATGGTGTATTGTTTGCATGGTGCCGCACGTGCAGATGCGCGTGTGGGAGGGCACGATGAAGAAGAGCGTGCAGGGCCCCGAGGGAGTGCTGCGCCTCTTCGACCTGGTGCGCGTGGGCGACGAGGCGGTGCGCACAGCGTTCTACTTCACCCTGCGCGACACGCTGGTCGCTAACAACTTGGAGCAAGCGTCGCGCGTCGCCTTCCAGCATCAGCGCCGCTGGAGGGTGGTCACCCTGCAGGGCCAGGTCATCGAGACGTCTGGTGAGCCGGCCACGAGCCTTCCCCGCCCCTCCTCCTCCTCTGCTGGCAATGGAGGGGTCAAGGTTAACCCATTACCATTCCGGTGACGCGCGCGTACATCGGTGTTCATTGCAAGGCCGGCTGGCTGCTGGCTGCCTCTGATGGCCTTTAGTGCGGCCCCTGACGTGCGGCCCCCAACAATACACAAATGTGAAAACACCCCCATCGTGCTGTCAAACCCCAATGGTTTCAAATGTGTAGTGGCCCTCGCACTAATTTTGCTCCCACAAGGCCATGCGGGAGGGCCTGTGGTACATTTTGGCGCCAGCTATCACATTGTGCGGTTGTATTGCTACAGTTCTCTGCAGTGAGTACAATGTATATTCTTGGTTCTTTTATAAAAGAATAAAAATATAAAACAATAAAATTATCACGACATTTCGACTGCAACACAAGCAATCATCATCAGGTGTGAAAACCACAACAAGAAAATTTGAAAAAAGTGGCGTTTTTTTCAACGTTAGCACCACGGTGAGCGATTTGACAGTTTGTTCAGATGGACGAGTCCATCTGTGTTCGGAAAAGAGGAAGGGGGAGACGAAAAATAATGTCTTTAAAAACAACGGTACTATGCCTCAATAAAATCACCACTGAACTGCTTGCACGTTTCCTATATTCAGCAGTGAACGGGACCCACCCTGCAACTTGCAGATGTCTCGGAAAGGGAAAAAATTAAAGGGTAGTTGTAATTGGGAGTTTTAAAAGGTGGTCATGGTGCAGTCCTACAATTACTTGCAGATGCCGCTGGTGGCAGAGATGCATCCTCGATAGGGAATTCTATACATCCCCTCAAATATGGTATGTTTGGCCTACTTTTCTTTGCCAGCCAGTCAACTTGGGTGAGGTGATGTATTTCAGTCAAGTAATTGGGTTATTGCTTTGGCCTTTGTTCATTACTTCACTCTGAAATCCAATTTCCAGTTTAGACTTATAGTGTCTACATGGCAGCTGCATTTCAATTTGAGTGAGACGTACACCAAGGAAGATATATATCCATGTACTGTAAGAAGCAACGGTTACACTTCAAACGTAAATAGTGCATTAATATGTGTGCGTTGCCAAACAATTGTGCCCTACCATTTTATGCCATCATTAAGCATAATCTCTGCTTTGCTCAGGGACGATGTCTGGTGGTGGCACCAGGGTGATGAAGGGCAGGATGGGCTCCTCTGTTGTTAGTGAAGTACCACAAGAGGAGGTGAGTCTGCATTGTGAGCATTTTTATTAGAATCAATAGTGCTAAAAGGATTAATCAATGATATAAAATAATTACGTGTTTTTTTAAGCTTTCCTACTAAGGTTGAAAGCTTTTCTTCTTTATGTCCGTCCATCCATCTGTTATGGGGGTGACGGGCCCACTGTAACTCTCAAGTCGCACCTCCGATGAGCACGGTTGGCTGCGTACGGTGCGAAAGTTCTGCATGCATGCAGACAAGTCACTGTTGCATATGAGACGATACTTGAGATCTCTCCTCGTTAAACAATATCAACTTGAAGATGATCCATTATGAACGAGCCCATAAATAAGTTGTGTTGCTGTGAAGAACCTACTGGATTGAAAACCAGATGGGTTCAACAAAGGGTACCTACAATTTGTAGAATAACACCATCTCGTGTGCACGGGCTCGATGGTTTTCTAAATTGCACGACTGTCAGAGCTGGCGACTGCTTGGGGGAGGCCATTCAGCAGTGGATTGATCATGGCTGATAATAATGATGAACAGTTGCGCGCCACAATTTCATGCGAGAAGCTCTCCCCCCCGCGGGGTGGGGCGGAGTGAGTGACGCGGGGCGGCCGTGAATGGCACATTCGGGCAGGTGGAGCGCATGGAGCACAAGCTGCAGGAGGAGAGTGCCAAAATGGAGCAGTACCAGCAGCAGAGGAGCCAGCTGGAGGAGCGGGTGCAAACGCTGCAAACCAGCCTGCGGGACATGAAGTACAACCTGCAAAAGCTCTCGGCCGGCGTGAAGGTAACCACCAACCCAAAAATCCCCGTTGCATAATGCAGGGTTGGCCGTTCTCGCTGACCTTATGAGTCGATTGAATACCAAACTGTTTATGGCCTGAGAGCCACAACAATAATGCATTGGGTCATCTCGAGTCAGCACCGCAGCCAGTTTTGCTCACTTTGGTTGGCTGTGGAGTTTTGAATTCAGAAATCTTCGAGTGTCCCGTAGTACCCATGTCTGTCTGGCCCCCGCACCGCTGGCAGTTGCAAGTGCCCTGGGCCCACTTCCGCAGATTTTACTTGATCCAAACAGTTGTATCCAAAAATAAAAATATAGCTGCGTCTTTATTGTGCCATACCTGAACTTGCTGTATGCCTCCCCCCGGTATCATGTATCATGAACATTGTTAAAACAAATCTACTGACTTGTAGTTCAAGGCAAAATGACAGATCAGCACACTGTTCAGATCAGTTCGTGGGCCTAATCTGGACAACCACCCCTGAGAATAAACATCTTTGGTTATGATCTAACCGAAGGAGGCATACAATGTCATCTTGCGAAGCTGTTATTTCACACATGGTGGTCCATTGTTAGCTGCAAGATTTCCAAATGGGAATTTATCCTTTTGATGACATGGACATTGAGAGCATAATTAGATTATAATAGAAGAAAAAGAAGTGCAAAGATCCATTCTAATGCTTCGCGGTGCTCTCCTTTGCGTGCCCGAACTATTATTCGGAGCACCGCTTGTTTGTCAAGTGCACATAGAAGGCGATGGGAACATTTTCCTTCCTGCGGGCAGAATCGGACTTCCAGACACCTTTTGGTCGGCCACGTGTGAACCCACACATCGGCGCTATCCATTAATAACACGGAAAATAATGCGCATGTCTTCGAGAGCACGACCTTCCTCGCAGTGTTACAAATGATTTGAGCTCGCTCAACTGAAAAACGCGGTATTGCCACTTTTAGGAGAATAATTATGTGAACTCCGATGACAGGTCCAGGTAGAACAGGAGGTGAGCCTCAAGCTGCAGGTGAAGGAACTGGAGGCCAACGTTGTGGCGGCTGCACCAGACAAGAACCAGCTCAAGAAGCTCGAAAAGACTCTGGAGGGCTTCAAGAAAGGTGCGGTAGCCGAAGCGGAAATTAAGCGGCGCAACTTGGCAGCAAGCGATTTTAGGGCTGCCACGGTGGCGAAATGTCAACTACCTCGCCTGGTATACAGGAAGTCGTGGTTTCCTGATGCCTGTATATTTTCATGTTCTCCCTGTGGTCGTGTGGATTTTTCCCTGGGTCCTCCGGTTTTTCCCTCCATTATAAACATGCTTTTATAGAGTATTTGGCTGCTATAAATATCCACATAATAAGCCACTTCGTTGAGCTATCATTTATGGCCAGGTCACTTCTGAAAAATAGCTATACAGCTCAGTGGGCTTTAACTGGTAAAATAAAAATAGTTAATTAAAATAGACAATAGAACCATGGTAGCTTCTATTTTTCAACAGTTGTACACTACTGAACCATTAAATTAGATCACAGCCCTCGTTTATGATGAAGTATAAGCAGGCTGACTTCTTCCTTCCCTCTTACCTGAGTGGCCTGGCCCAGGGAGGCCAACAGGGGGACCAGGGCAAGTCAATTTCCTTCCTTGGATGATGAATTAATTTGATTTAACTGATTTTTTGTTAGCAAAGTCATGATGGTGTAAATAATACACTATGCAGAAAATAACATCTACATGCTGTTATACACATACAGCAAACAATTATTCACACACGTCGATTGTGTATCGCTTTCCAAACAGGCATCTGTCCTTGTAAATATTTAACTAGTTGTACAGAAGCCAGCAGATAGGGAGCCATCGGGGACAAATCTACTGCTAAATGATAGCCTCTCCTTATGCCATAGTGTCATGCCATACTGCATCATTGTCAATGCAGGTTGGTGAAGATTGGAAGCATAGGCGTGGAATTATAGAAACACGGTACGATAATAGATATTGCTTAACTGCATCCTGCTGCCCATAACGTAGCCACCTATGATAACCGAACGTCCATGATGGTCGTCCATCCAATCGCCTTTCGGGCTCAACCCTCCTTAGCTGCCAAGTTTTTATGAGATTGGGTGCATGCCAGATTATTTGCTCATAGGCCCTGTTATAGTTATGGACAGTATAATAATTGCAAACGATAGGAATTGTTCTAAATATCTCTTTTTGCAACATTGTTCCTTTTTTATTGATGCTTGTGTTGCAGAGTATGAGAAAGTGTCTAGTCGGACGGGTAAGATCGAGGCCGAGGTGAAACGCATCCATGGGTTGATCATGGAGATCACGCAGGGCCGGCTCAAGGCACAGCAGGACAAGGTTCCTCACCGCGCCTACATGGGGTTCATTGGTGGCGATTCACGCGACTCCTGTAGTTTTAGACCGGGGGTTGGCAACCTGCGGCTCCGGAGCCGCATGCAACTCTTTCAGGGCCGCTGCTTCATGTTATTTATTAAGGACCACCGTCTCGTATTCACATTGGATTGCGGCTCTTGAAAAATTTAGTTTTTTTTACCGAATTCGAAAAATGCCTCTTCTCGTTACTTTGTTTGCCAAACCCTGGTTTAGACACATCTCATGGGAGTGATGGTGGCAATTTGATTTTAGCTGTGGTTTATAACAGTTTTAATATATACCCCCTTGAGTGGGAGTAGTCACATTTCAAATAAACCTTTAAACTTGTTACGAAACAACAGTAATAATTTTGGGTTGTTAAAATTGTATCGGTTTTTTTATCGTTTTCAGAATCAATGATTGATTTCGAAAGTTCTGGATTCGACAGTGGAACCTGTAAAATTTTTATAACGAATCAAAAACCGCAAGGCGCGTTTTTAAATTTGTTGTCGAGTGACGAGCAATTGCATATAAATTATGTAGATAACTGACAGCATTTTGTCAATTCTACTGCTGAATAAAGGGCGTCGTCAGTCATGGGGCTGGTTTTACCATACTCCACCACGCTGGTCAGTGTAAGACACTGAAATTAGTAGACCTAGTCATCATGCAGTAATATTGCTGTTAAGGTAACTAGGGTGGAGAATGCCGGTGGTAAACTGTTTAGTTTTAATCTCTAGAATTTTCATGCCTCATTCCTTGTTATTTACCTACGTACTTTCGTATTAAGATCACCAATGTTGATGTAACTGTTCCTTCTTTTCACAAAGGTGGACAAGATCAACCAGCAGATCGACGAGTGTGTGTCGGATATCACCAAGGCCCAGGTGGCCCTCAAAACAGCTGACAGGTCAGTCACCTGAGCCCCATACAAACATCCGCCTACCAGTTTGTCACTGGAATTTAGAATCCACGTGTGTAAAACCCAGGCTTTCTCAGTGCACACATGAGTGGTGGTGGACAGAACTCGTCTGTATGGATTGTTAATAGCAATAATAATTACAGCTTAGTGCCGTTCATAACATCTCAATGCCCTTTAAATCAATGATAATGAGGGTGGGGTTGCGTAAGTGGCGAAGATCAAGTAAAAAGTATTGTTCCAGTCTAATAGTTCAAGGTTATCACAAAGATGCTGTGTTCCACAGACCAGTATAGTTGGCCAGAAATTTGTGTTTTTGCCTTGAAATTTAACAAACTAAGTAATCTGTGAGTATTTTTTTCTATTTCGAAAATGTCAATCATCACACTAGCACATCTAACTTACTTTCTTGAAAATCGCGTCAGTGTCTTTAACATCCACTCCGAAGTAGACGACGCATATTTACAAATAATAGACCCGTTGCATTATCCAGGGAGGCCATTGGTCTCGAACTGCAAACCTCTGCAACGTATGTATGTTGAAATTCTTTCACACCGTACGTAGCCAACCGTGCTAATCGGAGATGCGAGGGAAGGGCCGCAAATTATACACAAAAAGCCGTTTTAAACAAATGAGTTTTCAATCTAGATTTAAAAGTGCATAGCTCCAGTGGCTTCCCAATATCGGAAGCTATAGCGTTCCAGATGGCTGCAGAAGTGCATCCGAAAGCACTCGATGCAGTCACCGTCTTTATTCGACAGCTAGCCAAAAGCCACTGGGAGGGTGACTGGAGTTCGTGATGGCTTATGTTCTTTGACGTTAAAGAGTCAAACTCGCTACCTCTTTGCCAGGGCCGTTTGACTGTTTTTTTACTTTGAGCAGAAACTTGAAGAAGGCGGAGGAGGCTCTGGCTAAGACGGAGCGGGAGCAGGAGGAGAACCGCCAGGCCATTGTGCGGCTCAATGAGGAACTGAAGAGCTTGGAGGAGGCGGCTGCAGAGATCATGAAAGAATGCACGCATGCACAGGTCAGGAGGGAGTGTTGACCTCGTCACTTGAGGTGCCCTATGAAGCTGGGCTTGCGGTGTTCACAAGCCGATGTTAAATGGGCGTTTGTTGACAAGGGTGGCTTTAGGGTCAGAGTACTGAGCCAGCGTTTGTTTGAAATCCTCAGTTTGAATCTGTGTCAAAAGTCATCTTTAAGTGCACTGAATGATGCTGTCTGCATCAGTTACAGTAGTGAATTCATGGTTGTGCCAAAATTTTTGCCACTCAGTGCTGACAAGACCGAAGCCATATTCATCGGCTCTCCTCTGCATCTTTCTAAAATTTATTCGCCTCGTTTGTGGTTTGATGGTCACGATGTCTGCCCTACACGGGAGGTCAGAATCCTTGGTGTTCAGATTTACCAATCATTATCCTTTGAGGCACATATCTAAGGTGGTTAAAATATAATTTTTCCACCTAAGAAATATTGCCAGAATGCATAAATTCCTGTCACTGGTCGACTTGGAGGGACTGGTCCATTCTTTTGTGCTATCCCGACTCGATTACTGCAACGCCTTACTGGTTGGGATTTCGAGCATAGTACTGGGCAGACTCCAGCTTGTTCCGAATGCAGCTGCTAGAGTGCTTACACGTACACCATTCCGTGAGCATGTTATACAAGTCCTTTTTATCTCTTCATTGGCTACCAGTCAAATTCCGAGTTGATTTAAAGATGATGATAATATTAACCTATCGGGCTTTAAAATGGCTCACCCCACGTTACTTGCAGGAACTAATACATTTATATATTCCATCATCAAGGTCATAAATATCTTCTGATCCTCCAACTGCTCAGTACTCCCGGGTCTAGGTTGCGCTTAGTTGGTGATGGGGCTTTTGTTAGTGTGGCACTCAAACTATGGAACGCCTGTGCCACTTGAAGTCAGGCAATCGGAGTCGGTAGATATATTCAAGTCTGCTTTGAAAACCCATCTCTTTAAAGTGACCTTCCCTCTTCAGTTTGGTCGGTTGCGCTGGTTCTGTTTTTGTTTCCTGCTTTTCATGTATTGGGATCGTTGGATCGAATGCGCATTATAAATTTAAGTTATTATAAATACATCGTCACTTTATTAATACCGCTTCCTGATTTGCGTTGCCTCAACCCCACACACTCATGTCGCTGATAGTATCGTCCGTCCTTTCTCATATCTGTCGCCTCTCGGCCTTCTACGCCACCACCCTGTAAACTGCTTAGATTTACGTTGTCTTGCTGTTCATCGCGCATTTCAGGAACGCATCCCTGACGTGTAAACTAAGGGTATTACTTTTCGATTTAAATTTCGATTTAAAGCTTTCGTGACTGCAAGGATTCATCTTCTTGGTTCTTTCGGCAAAGTCACGTAGAATGAGAATAAAACAATAAAACTAAATAAGACAATAAAATTCTCACGACGTTTCGGCCACAACACAGGTAGCCTTCTTCAGGTGAAGGAACAGAACTGTCGGGACGACAGCGCTTCAATGAACGCTGCTAAGATTCGCAGCGTCTTTTAAGCTAGGTGGGAGAAGTAAAGCGCCTTGACAAAGGAGTTTACATATCAAACAGGAGAATTTAGCATTGAAATAGCTGTGTTAAAGTGTTGTATCAGCAGGGTGCTAAAGTCAGAAATTAACATGTAACTGGGAGATTAGCATGATGTTAATGTGAGGGATTAGCATGTGACTGGTCACGGAAATATCTATGTTAAAGTCAAAGTTTACATATCAACAGAGGCATTTAGTATATGGACGCTAAAGGACTGCAACTACCCAACTATCATCCAATAAACTGATGTGAAAAAACTAAGTATAAACGACATCAATATAATAAATGTATTCAATATAATCTTCAATAAGTTGAGCTATAAACATATGGCAAGTTTTTTGTAATTTGTTCTCAGCCTGGGCACCAATGACTGTTAAAAAGCCATGCTATTATATTTGTATTTTCAGTTGATTTGAAAATATTCCTGTTGTGAGAATTAAAAATATGATGGCCATGCAACAAGAATGTATCTGCAGCAGGATCTGTGGGAAAGTGCATTGCCTCCTTGTGCGGATAAAATATGATATGTCACTTGGAATGACCTCAGAAGTAGTTGAATGTTAATTCCTGTAGGCTGCTCCCTGAAACGTGGGGTGTACCGCTCCGTGTACCGCTTTCTTTGTGTGCCGTTCTGTCTGTACTGCTCTGTACCGTTCGCTGTACCGCTTGGTGCGAGTATCAACTCGACACGTCGTCTTGTGCACAATGCTGATATCACATTTCAAATCAAAATTGGAAAAATGAAAAAACATGAAATAAGTTAGCAAAATTGTATACACATGACCTATGTAATAGCGTCCGACATTTGTTTTGTTTAAGTGTCCTTCAAAATTGCATGGACAGTGCTAGTTTTGCAGAAAAAAATATATATTTTTTAAGGTCTTTCCAAAGTATAGGGTGCATTTTAATTATATCAAATGTCTCATTTGGCGCGCCTGGTAATACATGAGGTCGTGGGTTCGATCCTGACCCTGGCGCCTGTATATTTGGAGTTTGCACGATTTGGAATTTTCTGCAGCCGTCTTCCCCGTCATTAGCGTGGATAATCGAGTTTACTGTACATTCATACTCTTTGGATCTTTCGGTAAAGTCACGTAGATAGAAACATTATAAAAAATAATTATGTTTTGATCACAACACAATCGTCCTCAGGTGGATTTTTCTCTGGGTCCTCCCTTTTTTCCCTCCACGTTTAGAATCGACATCATGCGTTTAAAGAGTATTTGGCCGCTATACATTTCCACATGATAAACCACTTGGTTGAGGTATCAATTGTGGCCAGGTCGCTTCTAAAAAACTATATAGCTCTAGGTTTTACCTGGTTAACAAAAAAATATTTGTTTTAGTTTTACTTACAAGGCAATAAAAACACACGGGCTTGTGTTGACGAGGATGGGCGTGCGCGTGCGTGCCCTTCAGGAGCGAGGCAAGGAGGTGTCGGAGCTGCAGAGGGAGCTGATGGGCGAGCTGAAGGCGCTGAGCGAGGAGGAGCAGGGTTACCAGAAGGAGGAGCTCGCAGTGCGCCTCAAAGTGGAGCAGTTCGACACCAAGATCTCGGAGCTCAACAGCATGCTGAAGCACTTCAACAAAGAGGTGCGCGTGCCATGCTACGTCCGGCTCGCCATGCCCTTTTGTTAATTAAAACCCTATACACAGTCGGCTTGTTTAGAGTTAATGCGAGGATTGGCGGCTCGTCGTAACCCATTTTCTTGTCCCACCGGCACATCCGAGCCAAGCCAGTGAGGAGCCCCCGGCATCATAATGGCCAATTTTTCACCTACCATTTGCTATTCCAAGCTAGAAACGGAATCGTGAAACGTTGGGCCTCGCAAAGCATCTTTAATATTGTAAACTTTGGGTCAAGCGGGGTTAACGAGCAGGGGCTAACGGACACGTTCGTAACGTGCGACGTCGGTACACTGCGGAAACGGATGTCGTGTCATTCATGTGCGCCGCGACTCGTTCATCGCTGGTGATGTACGTTGAACTTCTTTCGCACCCTATGGAGCCAACCGCGCTAATCGGAGGTGCGGTGGCAAGGACAACGAACTAAACACAAAGCAGTTCTAAATAAATGCGTTTTCAATCTAGATTTAACAAACTTGGGTTGGATTGGCAGTGAACATTATTTCACCATCATGTAAAAGGTGTACTTCTAGTGTGAATGAAGATGTTCAAATAACTTGAGAAGTTGTGCGATGTTGTATTCCAGGGTAATTCTCTGAAAAAGTGTGGTGTCACTGCTCGAATTGAGATATTCGCATGGACAATGTCCGCTTTTTTATGACACTTGTGGCACATCATGGGACCTCCTTTGCCAGTACCAAAATATGAGAATAGGTTTTCCCCTTTTTTCTGGCAACCAAACGGTCCAATGATGTAGCTGCTAACCCCGAGCTCTCATTACTCTGATAGTGCGTTGTCTTTATGCTGTACGCCTTTTGGTGTCCTCTGGTCTGACACCGTTTTGAGACTAGGCTCAAAAGAAAGCTGTCTCTGGTGTGGACCAATCAGTTTCAAAGACAATGCATATATTGTCAGTGTTTTTTTTGTTTGCATTCTGACCACAAGTATTGTGGTTAATGCAGACATGATTTGTAAAGGTTTCAGTTTGGTGTGTTAACATCTTAACACCTGTGTTGTTGCCAGAAAAAAGGGGAAAACCTATTCTCACTGGTGGTACAGTCGAAATGTATTTTGAGGGAGAAAAAATGCACGAGAATTAAACAATGTGTGTGGAATATTACAACTAGTTACGATGCTGCACATCTATAATTTACAGCTGGTGGTTCATGTAGTTGTGTGAAACCGAGGTGGCCAAGAGATGAACTGGCGGAATTTGAGGGACCATTTGTTGATGGTCGTCACAAGCCCAGTATGTCTATCAGTGTCTTGGGTTTGTGGTGGTGTAATGGTTGGCCTACTGCGCTATGAACCTGGTGGCCCAAATTTGATTCCAGGCCACTGAATAACATTCGTGATCATCTGAGTGGGTCTTGCACCTCCGTTCTGCCAACTCAACCTTAAATGAGTACCGGACCAGTGTCTAAACATCGTCACTGGGGCAGCCAAGCGTGGTACTGGCCACACACACCACCCTTTTTATGTGCCCATTACAGCCTCAATAGGTGCTTGCTCAACAGCACTAGCCCCACTTCTCCCACAATGTGGCCTGCTGTGTGTGCGCGCCGGCAACAGCTGTCGAAGTTTAAGCTGCACGTCCTGGACGAGGAGGGCGAGGCGCCGGTGCTGCCCACGCTCGGCAACAGGGAACTGGAGGAGCTTGAGGACCCCGTGGCCCTGGCCAACAAGATCGCCATCCTGGAGGAGAAGACGCTGCAGATGAAGCCCAACCTGGGAGCCATCTCTGACTACAAGAAGAAGGTTCGCCGCCAGCATGCCGTTGGGGAGCAATCCATTACGGTTTTGGTGTAGATTTGTTAAATTTACAATGACAGTGATTCTCATGTTCTTTCTTTAGGTTCATTGATAGGAGGTTCCTTTGACTTTTATTCTGGCCACGAATGAAAAGTGGCTTATCACATGGTGTTGTTAACCCTTTCCCCGCTTCTGAAAAATGAGCCAGTAGCTTAGTGGGCCTTACCTAGTATATAAAAAGTTTATTTTTATATTTTGTAGCGATTTGCTTACCTTTCCTACACTTGGCACTCCTATCGTGTTTTTGTATTGTTTGTTGTAAGTTGCTGGCCCGCCCCAACTGGACATCTGTGAAAAAGAGCTTTAGCTCATTGGATCCCTCCCCTAATATAAATACATATTCTGATTCAGATCTTTGCACGTTCTCACAGCCTTGCTCATTTCAAGAAACGCATTGACCCTTTTTATCTATAGCTTTGGGCCTTTTGTGCCTGTCTGTGCTCGGCATCCGTGATAAAAACAAATAATTAACCTGCCACTCCCCTCCCCCGTCTGCCCCCATTCGCTTGCAGGAGGAGATCTACCTCCAGCGAGTCTCCGAGCTGGATGCAATCACGGCTCAGCGGGACGAGTTCCGGCACTCGTACGAGGATCTGCGCAAGAGCCGCCTGCAGGAGTTCATGGCTGGATTCAATGTGATCACCAACAAGCTGAAGGAGAACTACCAGATGCTCACACAGGGCGGAGACGCGGAGCTGGAGCTGGTCGACAGCCTCGACCCCTTCTCTGAGGGGATCGTTTTCAGGTGGGGAGGGGGAGTCTGGTGTTGTTTAACCTTTTCCCCGTTCAGATCACGAACTTAAACCGAACAGACACGTTGCTCCGGTTAATCCGAAATCCACGTGATCGCCTCCACAGCACTGTAGCTGATTGGCGTTGCTCTGCTGTCGACTTCGTGGGCCGAGTCTTCTGCGTGGGAGCAGGGAAGTGTTATCGCTGAGCACGCGCATCGATCGGTCGATCGTTAGTATTCGTTCTAAAGATCCATGGAAAATGGTAATATTTTTGGATTATCCGCGATTTTTAATGATCTGCGGTCGTCCTCCCCGTCATTAGCGTGGATAATCGAGTTTACTGTATATTCATACTCTTTGCGTCTTTTGGTAAAATCACGTAGATAAAAAAATATTTTTTAAAAATCATGATGTTTCGATCGCAACACAAGCAATCGTCCTCGGGTGAAAAAATATAGCAAGAGAGCTGCTGAAGCAGGACGTTATATAGGCCTGAGATGGGTGCAGCCCAAGGGTAAGTGGGCGGGGTTAGAGACGGAAGATCGAGGGCACCCCAAAGCTGTTCATTGTATTGTCAGAGATTAGCAGGTCAATGTAGCCACCGCCATATCGAGGAATGCAACTCGGAGTCGGAAATAACTGCAGGTAGGATGGAAACATCACAGCCAGTTATGATTTAAACTGGTTTTCAGGTGGGGGGGGGGGGGTACCCTCGATCTTCATTTTCTAACCTCGCCGACTTACCCTTGGCTGCACCCATCTCAGGCCCTGAAAGACTCAGAGTAGGAATTCCTGCAGTCACGAAAGCTTTAAGTTGAACCATTACCGTCCGTTTGCGCAGCGTGCGTCCCCCGAAGAAGAGCTGGAAGAAAATATTCAACTTGTCGGGCGGTGAGAAGACCCTAAGCTCGCTGGCGCTGGTGTTTGCGCTGCACCACTACAAGCCCACGCCGCTCTACTTCATGGATGAGATTGACGCGGCGCTCGACTTCAAAAACGTCTCCATCGTGGCGCTCTATGTCTACGTGAGTGGCCTCGCCACGCACACCACCACTGGGCTGTCATGGCCGATACCGACCACGGGGCTGTCATGGCCGATACCGACCACTGGGATCTCGCGGCCAATACTGACCACGACGCTGTCACGGTCGATACCGACCACGGGGTCGTCATGGTCGATACCGACCACTTTGCTCTCGCGGCCGATACCGAGCACGAGGATTTCGTGGCCGATACCGTTCAGAATCACAGTAGCTCTTTGATTATCTGGCTTTTGGGGGGAGGGGCGCCGGATTTTCACAAACGCCAGATAATCACGAAATCATGATTTAAAATATCTTTGTTTTGCGCATTCTTGTATGATACTATGTTTTTAGGTGTTAAATGGTTTTTTATGCTTTAAATTTGTTTACGATATGAAAGTGGCATAAATAAATATACAAATAGATAAAAAATAAATGTCCTACTTTTAAAAGTTACCGTATTTACTGTACCGTAGTTACCACTGCATTCTCGAAGACTCTGCATGGAGTGATGTATACACGTTTAGTATTTTCATTGTTTCATATATATTTAGTTTATAATGTACTGTATATAATATTTAACACTGAAATCAAACATAGCTACGTGGTGCCGATCACCAGACTGGTTTACAGTCTTTGGAGTGGTTTCGCCGGATCGCCCGAGGACTGCAGGATAATGTTGGAAGCCGGATAATTAATCGATGATCAACTAAAGTTTATTTTCTGGTTAGATCGTGTTAAGGTGTTAATGTCGTTTTGTTTTGAGAATTGAAAACCCTCCTAAACACCCGGGTAGGGGTAATCTGGTGTAAGATATCACGTGCGCAAATGTGCCAATCGGTGCGATATTTCGGCAAACCGGAATGTTGAACAGCAAGGAAAATGTACGTGTATGCACATACGTTGAACTTATTTTGCACCATACGTAGCCAACCGTGCTAATCGGAGGTGGGAAATTTTCTATGAATCAGAATCTTTAGACTGGGGGAACCCGATTAAGCTACGAATGTTTCGCTAATGAATGTTGATACTTGCAAATGTAGTGCCCTGGAAATAGCAGGATACGTTCAGGGTTGGTTTGACCCAGTGTTTATTTTTTCTTAACGAGCAACCTTCACGTCCTTTGGACGTGTCCGTCCATCCCTCCCTCTGGACTTAACCATCATTTGGACGTGACCTTTACAGTGACTAGGGTAGTAAATGAAAGGCAATAGATAACACACAGCCAGCAAAACTCTGTATACCCCGTTATCTCTTTGCGCGGCGTGGACACGCGGCTAACAACTATTTGGAAACGAGTCGGCATTCAAAATGTATATATTTTGTTTCCTCCCCTCTTAAAAGTTGATGTATGCAAGAGAGTAATGGTTTGTGTTATAGTGGTCCCTCGTTTATCGCGGGGGATACGTTCTAAAAATAACCCGCAATAGACGAAATCTGCGAAGTAATCAGCTTTATTTTTTACAATTATTATACATGTTTTAAGGCCGTAAAACCCCTAACCACACACTTTTATACACTTTTCTCAGACAGGCATTAACATTTTCTCACATTTCTCTCTTATTTAAACACTCTCAAAGTTCAAACTTTCGCAGATTAAAAAAATAAGTACAATATTAGTAAATGAAACCAAAGATCAAAACCTGTTTTCAAGCCCAAACATTTTTGTAAATCTGGCTAGCCGAACGCATTCTGTACTCCCTTAGCTAATCAGGACGCAGAACACATGTGCGGTTCTCCCTTAGCCAATCAGGACGCCGAACACAATGCGCGTTCATACTGTACGCAGGAAAAAAAAGCATGCAAAATTACACTAAAAAAAATCCGCGAAACAGCGCGGCCGCGAAAGGTGAACCGCGTTATAGTGAGGGACAACTGTAATGTGAATTTAAGAGCTATTTTATGCATCTTTAAACAAAACTATTAATTTGAAAACATTGCCAGTTAATTTTACCCCGTGGCAGGCATTATCTTTAACGCTTGTGCCTTTGGTCCTTTCTTGCCCACAGGAGCAAACCAAGAACGCTCAGTTCATCATCATCTCTCTGCGCAACAACATGTTCGAGATGTCGGATCGGCTGATCGGCATCTACAAAACGAACAACACCACCAAGTCCGTGGCCATCAACCCCAAGACCATCGTGTTGCCCCCACTGCCCGGTGAAGCAACAATGCCGAGCTCGTGAACCCGCACCCCAATCACCCCACCTCATCCACCCCACCCCATCCATCAGCGTTGGGGGTCGAGCTTTGTCCGGTCACCAGTCAGCCTGAAGGATTGTCAAGTTAACTTAAACAAAAATTAAAAGGGGTCAAAATGGACTTCTCTTGGTTTCTGCCTGATGTAAACTTTTGCGTGGAAAATATTCATCCTCATCAAGACTTAACCTTTACAGTGTGATTGGCTAGACCAGTCTTGTTAGCGCGTTACTTTGATTCATGGGCTTAATATCTTACTACTTTATGCTTATATGCGTATATATATTTTCTGGAAGTCTTACAATTTTCACTATAGCTTATGCAATATCCTAGATGTGGTATTTTTTTACTTTTACATTTATTGTAAAAAAATATATTGTCTCTAAATTGGATTTTTAACCGCAGTTGTGTGTGTAAATAATATATCTGTTCTGCAGCATCGTCATACATGGCTTCAAGAATAATAACCTGAGTCATGTTTATTTTTAAATATATTAAGTCTAAATATGAATTGAATAACTCTCCCGATGCTGGCTTGTGTTAATGTCTGGCTATCTTAAGTTACGTGGCTCGCAGTTGTGTGTGTAAATAATATATCTGTTCTGCAGCATCGTCATACATGGCTTCAAGAATAATAATAACCTGAGTCATGTTTATTTTTAAATATATTAAGTCTAAATATGAATTGAATAACTCTCCCGATGCTGGCTTGTGTTAATGTCTGGCTATCTTTTGTTACGTGGCTCGACTGAATGAGACGTCGTGGTTAACACTGCCGTCTTCGGTGGAGGATTAGACTACGGGACAGCGTGCTTGTTCAAGTATTTAATCACTGACAAATGCACAGTTTGCTTTCATTGTTGCGTGTTAACCTTTTTTTCCATCATGTAAAATAAAAATGTACACGGTAGTGAAATCTACCCGGCCTGCCCCCGTGCCCATCTCCGCAATAATATCTTTAAAATATTACGCAGGGAAGCACGTGCATTGTAAACAATAGACAATACCAGCACCAGTAGTACAAACAAATTCTGCATTCACCATCGCGGCAAAAACACATTCTGCAACAATGGCATTTTAATTGAAAAGGCAAAAACATTGAATACAATAGTGTTAAACCAAAGTCTGGTGGAAATTTGTGTTTAAATAGTCACGTTTTCCCTTCCCGAGATAATTTTCAAGTACGTCCTTCCATGTGCCGTCGGCATAAGAGGGATTTGTTACGATTCATTAATATCGCTTTTGTCATTTAGATATGCATTTATTAAAGTCATACAATTATACAATTCTTCAACCTTACAGCATGATGTTAACCAGATGTTAACTGCCTCGTCTGGTAATACAAGAAATCGTGAGTTCGATTCTGACCCTGACGCCTCCCCCGTGGTCGCATGGATTTTTCTCGGGGTCCTCCAGTTTTTCCCTCCACCTTTTAGAATCATCATCACGTTTGAATCTTTGGCAGCTATGCATTTCCACAAGCCACGTAATTTGTGATAGCCAAGTCGCTTTTGAAAATGAACTATATAGCTCAGTGGGCCTTATCTGATAAAATAGATTTTAAAAATGTTACATTTTTAGTTTGTAATCCTATAAATGGCCAATTTTCGTAGCTATCGAGTGTACATGTGGTGCAAATGCACCGTTACCAAGGTTCTGGTGGAGCCAAGGTGCCAGGCTATGAAGAGGAGGGGAGAAGGCTGGGTGTGGGGGGGGCGGTGTCAGCGGATAGGAGGCCCCATTTTATTCCTTGTGCACCACGGCCCGGTGCCTGCCACTCCACTGGCCACGCACTGCTGCACAGCTATAAGGGAATTGTGTGCTGTGCAGGGCCAGGTGGCTTTGGTTGAGATTCCCTTGAAATCAATGGCACCCCCCCTGTGGCATCGCGCCCTTGAGAGCATCACTCAGCGAAGGGCTCCCGGAGGTCCTGGAGGAGGCGAGCGAGGCGCGGGCAGCACGCGTCGCGCGGTGGCGCGCTCGCCGCCAGGGCCCTCGCGATGGTGCGCAACGAGAGGCGGGCGCTCTCCAGGGCCCGGTCGCCTCCGCGTTTCTCGGCTCCGGCCTCATGGGACGCCAGGCACAGGCACGAGTTCCTCAGGTTAGCGCTCGCCTGCGGGTGTGAAGATAAACAAAATCACTGATAGGTGCAACACTGGTTGTCCCCTTACACGCACGCACGTGGCATCTATATTCAGAGCCCCCGTGAAAAAGTGAAATTACAATTGACTCTTGCCTCGTTAAAAGTAAAGGTGGACTTGATTAATACTGCGGTGTGTATTAGCCATAAAACATGCACGCCGTCTGCTTTGCAGTGGACGTAAAAAGATTGTGATGTTATTTGAAAGGGGCAGGCCATTGTTGGTGTCGCCTGGTCCTAATTTCCCAAAATAATAAACATTAACTTCCAAATTACTCAATCGCACCCCCTACCGCAAAGAAAAAAAAGTCTTAACTCATTGGGGCTATCCTGGGTAGACCGTAATCAATCAATGCCCTTTAATACAGGGGTAAGGAACATAAGGGCCTGGTCCTTGACTTCACTTCGTCCGTGGTTATAGGAAGGGAAGGATGGAAGTCAAACCCCAAGTGTGCGTGTCCTGGAAGCGTCCGTGGCGTGTTCGTGCTGATGTTAACCCGACAATAAAAGTCCCGCTGATTAGTGCATAGCACTATCAAATATATTTTTGCACGTTTTACCACAATGTTTGGTTAATGCAGACTTGATGCCCTGTAATAGGGGTGTAGTGTTTTTTCTTATCTTATAACCACCTGCGTTTTTGACGGAAATGTTAAACGCCTTTTCTTTTTCATCTTAACAGTCATAAGGAGAGAATTTCCCTTACCAGGACGACTATTGCGGATTCCCCGTCAAATCGAGCAAAGGCTAAACGACACAAACCCCCTCCTGAAGCCCTCTCGTCATGCCTCGCAGAAGTCGTCGACATTGGCTGGCATCTCTCTCCTGACAAACAAACTGCCATCGTACGCAAGAGTAGAACAAGGCGACTGCTATGGAGCCACATCGACAGAGAAGCCAGTGCAGCAACATTCATTGCACGACACTCCGCTCCAACGTCTCTGATATCCCTCCGTCACCAACCACCAGCGTGGTGACGTTGTAGTCAACCCTCAAGACCCTGAGTGGCACGGGGAGACCGGTATACAGCGGTGGATTGACAAAAAAGGGGCTGTGGAAGGGAAAAGTGGTCTGTAATTGTGATGTCACTGGGTGAAAGCTGTCCTTAAAGTGGTAGCTGATGTGGATAGAAAACCGCGTTGTCTTTAGAGTTGTTGCAAGTGGTTTCGGGTGCTCGAGGGTTTTTATGCTCGAGTTTAGTACTGTGCAGTAAATAGTACAGTCATATCGTGTTTTTGGGGTCGGCTGAGTAAAATCCAGCAGTGGAGTTCTTGTGTTTTTTGCAGAATAACGTTTGATTGCATGTTCACAAGTATTGTGTGTGGTTAATGTAGACTCCATTTCTTGCAAAAGGCATCTATTTGGTGTTTGAACATCTTAACACCTGTTTTATTGCCAGAAAGGGTGAAACATTCTTATTTTTCATACTTTAATACTGGCAAAAAAAGGTCCCATGAAAGTAATTCACCGCGCATGAGCAGTCTGGGGGTACAATTTCCCACCAAAAACAATTAAGTTTTAGTATTGTAACTTTCTGACCTGCCGCTACTGGACATGTGTAAAAAAAAAAGCTTCATAGCTCATTGGATTTTCTCCAGGATGAATACTGCTTCTGGTATACACGTGCGTGTTGCATGCGACCGAGTACTCTTGTGGTTATTTGCTCTGTTCTGAATTGTCAATTCAGGATACGTGCACGATGGGCGTGTGCGGCTGTTTTTGTTGTGGCCAGGTGGAGGGACGCACGACAGAAGAGGCGATGCGAGGAGGATTGGGTTGAGGTGGAGAGGAGGAGGATGATGATGGTGATGAAGCTTTGCAAGGAGGTGGAAGCACAATTGTAGTGGTGATGTCGAATATAAATTTGTAATGATTTAGAGCAATCCTTGTCAACCCACCACTGCATTGTTCTTCACTGAGGGGGCACATTTGAAACACTATTGGGGATTTCACAGCAGAACGATGATGATGATGGGTGTTTTCACTTGTCGTGGGGCCGCACTAATGACCACCTAGGGGCCCGCCAGTGGCACCGCGGTGGCCTTGCAATGGAGAATGCTGCACTGCAGGGATGAGGGCCTCGCCGTGCCGGTCGTGAGGGTTACTTTACCATACTTCACGCTGATCACTACTGATCTGGTAAAGAACGCGGAGTGGAGGTGTGAACTACTTATGTACTGTACAGCCCTATTGTCAATTCACTGCTGGATGAAAGCCTCCCTACGCCGTGCAGGTTCGTGAGGATCGTCCATCTGCAGGTAGGTGGATGCGGGAAATGCCATTAGATGACACAGATGCAATTCATGGCTGGGAATCACACTCGTGTTGCAGGGGTGTTGCGAGTACATTGCGCTGAACACTGCGCCTCCACCCCTCCCAAGTGTGCGTGCGCTTTCTCTAATTAAATTAATCGAGCAAGAACGCTCTGGGAGATCCGTCCGTATGTTGGTTGACCTTTTGCACCGTACGTAGCCAACCATGCTAATCGGAGGTGCGCTGGGGGGAAGAAACTAAACACACCCCAAAAATAATTTATTAAGAAAGTTTTAAAGATAAGACGAGAAAACCACACGGGCACCGTGGTTGTCCGTGTTTCGCGATGGCGCGCCCGTTGCGGAGGGCGCAATGATCTACTCACGCGTGAGCGCGCGAGGCGGAGGAGGAGACCCCCATTCGGGGTCCCATGTGGGCGTCAATTGCGTGTGTTGCGTCCGCCCCGCCACGATTGAGCGCTCAAGCGCAGCGGATAATCGCCCCGCCACCCACCCACCCCTGTGCGTGCGGTGACGGCCTTAATGCGACGTAATGAGGCGCGAACGCCCCAACCGCCCACCCACCACTCCGCGCCCTGCTGTTGATGAGCAGGGCGCCAGCTCATTAGAAGCGTTCCCTCCCCTTCTCGCCCCATGGGTCTCGTCGCAGCAGCTCGTCGGAGCTGCTGAAACGTGGAGGACGCGGCGACTCGGAGGATGGGATTTGAGATGACGGTGACTGATGGCGATGCTGGTGGCGATGGAACGGCACTAATTATTTTACAAGAGTTAGGCCATTGTGTGCCGGTGTTACGGATCACAGCTTACCATCGTGCACGGGAGGGAGGGGAGATAATTGGGGGGGGGGGGGGGTGAGGAGAGGGGAATATAGACAAAGATCCCCCGTGTAGCCTTAACAGACTGTTGGGGCAAGTGCTGTTAGCGAGTAGGACCTATGAAGGCCCGAACGGCACACGAGGGGGTGGGTGGCCAGCACCACGCTCGGTGGCCTTTGTTTCCTCAGCGGCGATGTTTGCACATCAAATGGGCACCAGGTACTCATTACTCTTTGGTTCTATTCGGTAAAGTCACGTAGGTAAAAAAAATTTAGACAACAAAAATCACGACGTTTCGGCCACAACACAAGCGGCCTTCATCAGGTGAAGGACAGCGTTGGAGTGAAGAAAGCCAAGCGCTGGTCGCCTCCCTTTAAGCTGTGAGGGGGCAAACAGCAAACGCCCTGACAAAGGAAATGCGCATGAAACGCACCACTGACAAAGCTTGGAATTAGCACAAGATGATAATGCACCACCCTGGGAGTTTGGAATACCACTACTAGAATAAATATACTGTACCACTGAAATTTAGATTTGAAGCTTTCGTGCCTGCAAGGATCCATACTCATTGGTTCTATTAGGTAAAGTCACGTAGGTGACTTTACCAGGTACTCATTTGAGGCTGAGTCGACGTAGGGGAAGCCAGCATCGGTTTACGTAATCGTCACGGGTGTTGGCCGTGAACAGGAATTGAACTCGGT